GGGGGGGGGGCAAAATTTATTATGGTTTATAATGACAAATGATACTTTGAATATTACATGTTAATAACTTGATTGGAATTATAACCTTGAATTGACAGTTTGATACTTTGAAAATTTTGAGCCAGCCCTACCCCCAAGGGCTGTAGGTGCTAGTTTCAAATCCTTTTTAGTCTGAACTCTGTATGCTAGATATTGAGTAAGGTGGTTTTATTGTTTTTTGTCACTTTGAATAATATTTCTGTTCATGTTAAAACAAAATCAACTCTCTGTATAAATATATCAGGTGACCGTTAAGGCCCATGGGCCTCTTGTTTACATCCTAATCTTATATTATCTCTATTGCCATAGCTTTTTTCTGTATATAACATATAATCCTCTGAAATTTACGTGAACTTTTTAGCTTTCTATTCAAATCACCCTGCGTCTGTGGTCCGACATTCTGTCCCTCCTTAAACAATTCTTGATGGCGCTATTTCTCAGGAAGTACTAGAGGAATCTTTTTCAAATTTCACGTGAAGGTTCACCATGGTCCCTAGTTATGCATATCATTTTTTGGGCCTGATCACAAAAACAAGATGGTTGACAGACAGCCATCTATTATTTGAGAGTTAAAGTTTGTTAGTGCTATTTATTAGAAAGTACTGGTGGGATATTTCTCAGATTTCACATGGAGGTTCCCCGTGGTCCTAAGTTATGCATATTGGTTTTTGGGATTGATCACAAAACCAAGATGGCCGACAGTCAAGTTAAAGTTTGTTAGCGCTATTTATCAGAAAGTACTGAAGGGATCTTTTTAGAATTTCACACCAAGGTTCCCCATTGTCCTTAGCTATGCATATCGGTTTTTGGGACTGATCACAAAACCAAGATGGTGGTTAGCCAGCCATCTTGAATATGAGAATGAAAGTTTGTTAGTGTTATTTCTCAGATTGTACAGTAGGGGTCTTTCTCAAATTTCACATGGTGGCTCCCCATGGTTCCTAGTTCTGCATTTCAAATTTTGGAGATGATTAGTTGTGCATGTTAAGTTTTGAGTTTGATCAAAAGACTGATTAAGATGACAGACAGGCAAACTGATCAAATAGATATTAGAGAAAAGAAGAGAAAAGATAAAACTGATATAGAACTAATGAAGATGGTACAATGGTTGGCTCCAAGATCTCTGGGATATCTTGTCCTTTATTTTGACTATATTTAGCTCAACTTGCCCAAAGGGCCAAGTAATCTTATAGGCCATGGTGCAGCTTCTGTTGTTAACTTGTTCCTGTGAACAACTTCTCCTCAAAAAACGAACAGGCACTCAGTGGATGGTGAAATTTGGCCATTAGCATGCTGGAATGAAGGGCTCCCATTATATATTTATTTATACAAATTATTAACTTTGATCCACTTTCAGGGTCTCGGGGATCATATATATTAAAATCTTTAAAAAAAACTTCTTCTCAATAAACAAAAGGCCCAGGGTGATGACATCTTGCAATTTGCATGCTTGAATGAAGTACTGCTTAATTTATTGAAATATTTTATCCTATCTCACTTTCAAGGTCACAGAGGTCAAATGTTAAAAAAACAAAAAAAAACTTTTCAATAACTGAAAGGCTAAGTGTGGTGATATTTGGCCAGTAGCATGCTGGAATGAAGGGTTATCAATTTTTTTCAAATGAATTCCCAACAAATTAGTCTAGAGTAATGATATTTGCTTAGAAGCTTTTTGGGATGAAGGGCTATCAACAGTTTTCAAATGAATGACCTTGGCCCATTTTCAGTCACTGGGCAAATGTATCTAAATTTTCAAACAATTTCTTCTGAATAATAAAAGGCCTATGGTGATGACATTAGCCAATAACATACTTGGATGAAAGGCTGCAAAGTTTTTTCAAATGAGTGACCTTAACTTGTTTAAATCCTGACCCACTTTCAATTTCGCATCAGTCAAATTTGTTCCATTATTTGAACACTTCCTTCTGAATGCCTGAAAGGCCAGGAATGATAATTAGCCAGTAGGATGCTTTGATGAAGGTATATCAAATTTGTTCAGATGAATTATTTTGTTCCACTTTCAATGGCACAGGAGGTAAACATGTTTAAATCTTTTAACAACTTCTTCTCAATAACCAAATTGCCCAGGGTGATAGTAATTGACTAGTTCCATGGCAGGATAAAGGTTACCACAATGACCTTGACTCACTTTCAAGGTCACAGGGATTAAATATGTTAAAAAATCTTTGAATAGATTATTTTAATAACCAAAAGTGAAAGATTGAATTATTTGGCCTGTACCTAATTTAGTTCTATTTAAATATATTTGACCTTGGTCCACTTTTAAGGTTACTGGTGTGAGATCAATACCAGGTGAGCAACACAGGCTCATTGGGCCTTTTGTTTCATAATATAGATAATCATGTGAATATTGTATGTGTTCCCTGGCTCAGAAACTAAAAGGACTAGTGTTTTACATCGGGAAAATATAGGAATATATCAACTCTCTTTAGGAATTATTAGCATTAACTTTTGATGTTCCAGATAGATTTTCTGTTACACTACCTGTGCTCATATCATTGTACATTGTGCATGATCTGACACTTCAGGTGCAAAAAATGAGGTTTTAATTAAACTGCTGTAGTTTTAACATGTGAAGTTTGGAAGAGAACTAAGTAGATTCTGTCTTCTGAAGTGATGACATGCGATGTATTCTGTGAGAGAGCTCTGACAGCTGGTCAGTCTAATTAATGAGATATTAACTAAAACATGTCTTCTTTGTTTAATATTTTTAAATCTTGTAAATTGAAAATAATATGAGCAAGCAATTTATCATTGGAAGCGAGGAAAATATTAGACAGCAGAATAAAAAAAACATATCCACTGTAGATTTATTAGACAACCATTACTACTGTTTATCCACTGTAGATTGTATTAGACAACCATTACTACTGTTTATCCACTGTAGATTGTAGTAGACAACCATTACTACTAGTTTTACTCAACTCTGAATGACACTGAGCTCAAAGTTCACCAGGTTTTCCTATATGAAATAATCATACATTTACTTACGCACTGTCTTTGTATATTTTTATTGTATAATATCGCATCATTAACTTTTTACATTTGATTTAATATATAAGTACTAGCTTTCAAAAAACAATGCATATTAAGTTCATTTTTCAAGGGTTTATTTTAGATACAGGAGTAAGTGATATTGTGTGTCTGATAATTTCCCCAGAATAAAAACAGAAAATGCTCTGTTAGGTCACTGGTCAACATGAGGGCTGCCGAGTATATATAGTAACCCTCACCGGTCAACATGAGGGCTGCTGAGTATATATAGTAACCCTCACTGGTCAACATGAGGGCTGATGAGTATATATAGTAACCCTCACTGGTCAACATGAGTGCTGCTGAGTATATATAGTAACCCTCACTGGTCAACATGAGGGCTGCTAAGTATGTATAGTAACCCTCATGATCACAGGTCAACATGGAGGCTGCTGAGTACATTTTGTATATATAGTAACCCTCACTGGTCAACATGAGGGCTGCTAAGTATATATAATAACCCTCACTGGTCAACATGAGGGCTGCTGAGTATATATAGTAACCGTCACTGGTCAACATGAGGGCTGCTGAGTATATGAAGTAACCCTCACTGGTCAACATGGGGGCTGCTGAGTATATATAGTAACCCTCACTGGTCAACATGAGGGCTGCTGAGTATATATAGTAACCCTATAATCAGCTGCTAACCCTATAATCAGTTGGGGGCTTTATAGCTGACTTCTGTGTTTGTTAGGATTTTTTAGTTTATTATTACCACAACCTACCCAGACTTTGCAAGTTTTTTAACGTGCAATGTCATACCAGGTATTGACATAAGGCTTCAGTACTTTTACCGATCAGAAAAAAAATCATCATTTAAATCTAAATGAAGCCATTTGTATGTTTTGTAATTTAAAGTGGTGAAGTATAGGTAGAATAAAATGCTCTTTTTTTAAACATTCGAGGAGCCATTTGAAAATAGGAACTGAAGCCTTGCCATCCATGGACATATTAAATATGTTTTAGAGTTTTTCCAAAATGATGATCTAAACACTGGATCAGTTCATCCTTGGACATGTATCAATATTTTTCAGTGATGCCTCACTATTACTAGAGTAGGTGAAATACAAATAGTTTTTAAATGACCAGCTGTCCAAAAGGTGAATAACATTATTGTAACTGCTCAAATTTCAGATTTTATTCATAAAAATTGCCTTACATTTTGAATATGTAGATAAGACTAGCTTTGATGACTGTCTCATACATGTTGAGTTATTACATGAAAAATCATTAATGAGTTGTTAATTTATAATTTCAGGATGAGGCAATTGACATTGAAAGCGTTGGAACTGAAGAAAAGCCACGTTACGACCGGCTCATTAAACGAACCATTGCTAGGCAACGACGTAGTAAACTCATTCGCCTTATTTTTTCTTTCGTAACGTTCCTTGTTGTTATTGCAGTCGTTGTTTTGTTGGTCATATACTTTGGGAAGTCGTGACATTTTCTACTTCACGATCATTGTTATCTGTGCATCACTCGCCTGTTGTTATACGTCGAATATTACGGTACTTACTGAAATATTGATCAGGTTCACCAGTATGTTATTATTAGTACTGTAAAGACACACCCATTGTCTCCTTAATCTCCACAGAGAGGTTCTTTAAAGCACATGACATTTTTTGTAAGCAGATAACAAATAAGATCCCTTTTTCCAGCTAAGTCCTTATCTTTTCTAAAAAGGTAGGACTGTGAAACCTATTTAATCCAGCCCTCCCCTGAGTATTCTGACATTCCATCTAATCCAACCCTGAGTATTCTGACATTCCATCTAATCCAACCCTGAGTATTCTGACATTCCATCTAATCCAACTTTGTGTATTTTGACATCTTCCTTAATCAGACCTTAAATACACGTATGACTTGTGCTTTTGTAGAAATTTAGAACTGTTTTACTGTCAAATCAGTAATCAGGGCCCGTGTACATGAAAGCATGGATTCTGTGCTCAAGCCAACTTTATTTTAACTCACTTAAATCATGTGATACGATCAATAAATCCTGTGTAGCCATTAAAAACCATATTCAGTTTAAAATCTCTACAATTTCTTTTTCATTTTTTTTACAAAATATGTTATGTTCTTAATTTATCATGGGAACAAGATATTGGGCTTGAGCACAGAGTCTGAGTTTGAGCATGAGAACAGTTTCATGAATACAGGCCATGGTGTTATGAACTATAGCTAAAACCTTGAGCAAAGACAATAGGATGTTGCACTAGTTCTCATAACACCTTGAATTCCCAGGTCTTCGTATGGACTAGCGTCTCGCTGGTGTCCAGGAGGACACTATCTCAGCACACCAGATAATGTACTGTTGTATTACTTCTGTGTATGTCGGAGTATCAAAAATCCATCAATCATCTCATTATTAACCATAATGTCAGCAGATATAAGACTACTGTTTAATTTGTCAAATGTTGTTAAATCAGGGAATAAGATATTTGATGAACAATTTAGAAGAGATTTAATTAATTTGCCAACAATTTGATGTATCTGTTTGTTATGCATATTGTATTTAAAACTGAGTTTGTCTGACACATTGTTCAGTTGACAACTACTGGTCACATCATGTTCTGTTAAATCTCACCGATCCACACCATATCGGTCACTACAACATCCAATGATAATGTTTTTGTTGAAGTTTATTTTCAATGGCTATGCATTGTATATATATATTGTACAGATACATGTACTGCGACATAGTTCTTCTGTACAGACTGATCTATATTTTTTGTCAATACATGTATATGTAAATGTGCTGTGACCTTATTTATCGGTAATCAACCTAACAGTACTTTGTTGTCAACAATTACTGGTGGTTTGACCTAGTTCCTCTGAACAGTTATAATCATGACTTATTTTTAATATCGTCAAAACGTGCTGTGACCTAGTTCTTTTATGTTCAGTGACCTAGTTTTTTTGTCAACAAAATCTTTTTTGTGACTGATATAATTCCTGTATGTACAGTTTCTAAGATTATTTTTGATAATATGGTAAAGATGTTGTTTCAGTGGTCAGACTTATACATTTTGCCAAAAAAGAATGTTTTACTGCATTTTGTTCCCCTGAAATTCCATTTAAACATGACACTGAAAACATGAGTTATAAACAGGTATATATTGATACTGTATTTGATATTATGGCAGCATCATATTCCAGAGATAATACATGCTCTATATATACATTTATAGTGCCTATACTTTAGATTTCCTCTGATATTGCAGAAGTCACTGATCTCGTGAACACAGATATGAGCCTGGTTTATTGAACTATTGTTAGATTCATAAGCACTTAAAGATCCTGTCCCACTGCAGGTAAAACCCCATAGAACTCCACTGTAGGTAGTTTTTAGTTTCATTTAAAATGCTGCAGTACTTGTCCTGAACGGCTTAGTGGATTTTAACTTAATTTGGTCTGAAGCATCCTTGGGCTAAGGACACTCAATTTTAAATAAATGGTGGGTGTGGCCCCCTTGGGGGCAGAGGAGCGGGGCCCGATAGGGGAAATACAGGTAAAACCTTTATAATCCTTCTTCTACCATAGGGATAAAGGGATTTCATCCCAATTTGGTCTGGAACATCCTTAGGCCAAGGGCACTCGATTTTGTATTAACCACCCTAGGAGAGGGGCCAAATAGGGGAAATAGAGGTAAAACTTTATAACTTCTTGTTCTAGCATAGGGATAAAGGGATTCTATCCTAATTTAGTCTGAAGCATCCTTGTTGTACATACTTCTCCTACATTAGAGAGACAGTATAATGATTGAAGCTCCATGGTTACATTAGAGTGACAGTATAATGATTGTTGCTCCATGGTAACATAAGAGAGACAGTATAATGGTTGAAGCTCCATTGTTACATTAGAGAGACAGTTTAATGATTGAAGCTCCATGGTACATATGTAACATTAGAGTGGCAGTATAATGATTGAAGCTCAATGGCTACATTAGAGTGACAGTATAGTGATTGAAGCTCCATGGTTATATTAGAGTGACAGTATACTGACTGAAGCTCCATGGTTACATAAAGAGACAGTATAATGATTGAACCTCCATGGTAACATTAGAGTGACAGTATACTGATTGTTGCTCCATGGTAACATAAGAGCGACAGTATAATGATTGAAGCTACATGGTTACATTAGAGTGACTGGTTACATTAGAGCGACAGTATAATGGTTGAAGCTCCATTGTTACATTAGAGAGACAGTTTAATGATTGAAGCTCCATGGTTTCATTAGTGTGACAGTATAATGGTTGAAGCTCCATGGTACATATGTAACATTAGAGTGACAGTATACTGATTGAATCTCCATGGTTACATTAGAGGGACAGTATAAAGATTGAAGCTCCATGGTTACATAAAGAGACAGGATAATGATTGAAGCTCAATGGTTACATGAGAAAGACAGTATACTGATTGAATCTCCATGGTTACATTAGAGGGACAGTATAATGAGTGAAGCTCCATGGTTACATAAAGAGACAGGATAATGATTGAAGCTCAATGGCTACATTAGAGTGACAGTATAATGATTGAACCTCCATGGTAACATTAGAGGGACAGTAGAATGATTGAAGCTCCATGTTTACATAAAGAGACAGTATAATGATTGAACCTCCATGGTAACATTAGAGGGACAGTATAAAGATTGAAGCTCCATGGTTATATTAGAGTGACAGTATACTGACTGAAGCTCCATGGTTACATAAAGAGACAGGATAATGATTGAAGCTCAATGGTTACATGAGAAAGACAGTATACTGATTGAAGCGCCATGGTTACATTAGAGTGACTGGTTACATTAGAGCGACAGTATAATGGTTGAAGCTCCCTGGTTACATTAGAGAGACATTATACTGATTGAAGCTCCATGGTTATATTAGAGTGACAGTATACTGACTGAAGCTCCATGGTTACATTAGAGATACAGTATAATGATTGAAGCTCAATGGTTACATGAGAAAGACAGTATACTGATTGAAGCTCCATGGTTATATTAGAGTGACAGTATACTGACTGAAGCTCCATGGTTACATTAGAGCGACAGTATAATGGTTGAAGCTCCATGGTTACTTTAGAGTGACAGTATAATGGTTAAAGCTGCATGGTGACATTAGAGAGACAGTATAATGGTTGAAGCTCCATGGTTACTTTAGAGTGACAGTATAATGGTTAAAGCTGCATGGTGACATTAGAGAGACAGTATAATGAGTGAAGCTCCATGGTTACATAAAGAGACAGGATAATGATTGAAGCTCAATGGTTACATTAGAGAGACATTATAATGATTGAAGCTCCATGGTTCCATTAGAGTGACAGTATAATGTTTGTTGTTCCATGGTAACATTAGAGCGACAGTATAATGGTTGAAGCTCCATGGTTACTTTAGAGTGACAGTATAATGGTTGAAGCTCCATTGTTACATTAGAGTGACAGTATAGTGATTGAAGCTCCATGGTTTCATTAGTGTGACAGTATAATGGTTGAAGCTCCATGGTTACTTTAGAGTGACAGTATAATGGTTAAAGCTGCATGGTGACATTAGAGAGACAGTATACTGATTGAATCTCCATGGTTACATTAGAGAGACATTATAATGATTGAAGCTCCACGGTTACATTAGAGAGACAGTTTAATGATTGAAGCTCCATGGTTATATTAGAGTGACAGTATACTGATTGAAGCTCCATGGTTGCCTTAGAGTGACAGAATCATGGTTGAAGCTCCATGGGTACATTAGAGAGACAGTTTAATGATTGAAGCTCCATGGGACATATGTAACATTAGAGTGGCAGTATAATGATTGAAGCTCAATGGTTACATGAGAAAGACAGTATACTGATTGAATTTCCATGGTTACATTAGAGTGGCAGTATAATGATTGAAGCTACATGGTTACATTAGAGAGACAGCATAATGATTGAAGCTCCATGGGACATATGTAACATTAGAGTGGCAGTATAATGATTGAAGCTCAATGGTTACATGAGAAAGACAGTATACTGATTGAATCTCCATGGTTACATTAGAGAGACAGTTTAATGATTGAAGCTCCATGGGACATATGTAACATTAGAGTGGCAGTATAATGATTGAAGCTCCATGGTAACATTAGAGGGACAGTATAAAGATTGAAGCTCCATGGTTATATTAGAGTGACAGTATACTGACTGAAGCTCCATGGTTACATTAGAGCGACAGTATAATGGTTGAAGCTCCATTGTTACATTAGAGTGACAGTATACTGATTGAATCTCCATGGTTACATTAGAGTGACAGTATAATGATTGTTGCTCCATGGTAACATAAGAGAGACAGTATAATGATTGAAGCTCCATGGTACATATGTAACATTAGAGTGACAGTATAATGATTGAAGCTCCATGGTAACATTAGAGGGACAGTATAATGATTGAAGCTCCATGGTTACATTAGAGTGACTGGTTACATTAGAGCGACAGTATAATGGTTGAAGATCCATGGTTACATTAGAGTGACAGTATAATGGTTGAAGCTCCATGGTAACAGGTTTTTGCAGTGTTGCAGAGGTCTTTAAGGATGGGTTTCTGCTGATTTGAAGTCATATTTCACTATTTGGAAGATATAGAAGTTTTCAGCTTCCCATTGCTGATTTTAAAACCAGTGAAACGTCAATTTGTAATGTAATGCCAGAATAAAGAAAACCCGAGTTTAGGACAGAGACTGGCTTTTTGATCAGTAAGTTTGGAGATTAGCTGACAATTTTGGTACATGTACAATAACTATACCTGTCATAGTGTTGATATAATTAACTTACAGGTTTATGATTGCCTAATATGTACCGACTGTCCCTATTAGGGCAAAGTAAATGTCGAGATCTTTACATATGTAAATAAACTTGGCATATACCTTACAAAGAACCACATGGCTTTAATTTAGTGAGCTAGCAGTCAGAGGGACACGATAGGGTGCATTTCAAAATGCCATAACATTGGTTTGGTTGTAGTATTCGTATGGTTTTGATGCATAACAGATAGGAAAGCATGATTATAATTCCTTAATTACCTTACATGAAATTACCTGGTATGCTACAAAATATTGTAACAGGTAAATCTAGGGTCCCATCTGTAAAAAGCCTTATCTAACTTAATGAAAAATTACACCTATTTATCATCTGGAATCAAAAACTTTAAATATAGTAATAGTAATTAAATTATGTTCAAAGGGAATCAATAAGACAAAATTCACGAAATTGGTTGTACATTTTAAGATGGTAAGATACCAAATCTCATATTGAGCATGCTCTCATGAATCTAACAAAGCTTTCATTAACCAGACTCAAGGTGTTCACTTTAGGAAGTCAGTGATGTCAGTCTACCCTATTGTGATTCTATTTCTCTTTACCGTAATTGTGATTATTACAACAAACAGGAAGTTGTATGTAACTGATATCTTTGTTGTATTTATTTACTGAATTAAAAGTTCTATCTTTTGAAACAAGTGTTTTTCTTATATTTTTATATCATTTCAAATCATTGGATGAAATAGCATTACAGAGACTTACCTAAGTAAACCAATATATACAGATATCTCTTAATCCAAAGAGGAACATTGTCACATGGTAAAAGATGCTGCACACATCAGCTTGTGTTGTCTGTTGTCAACCGTCAGGAATAACAGAATCTAGATAGCATTCAGGTGCGATATAGATACAGAAATCTCATATTCAGAGTAGATTTTTTGAAGTTTTGCTCGAGGCTTTGTCAAGTGCTGAACTTGAAAATTAACTCGTCCTGAGGGTTGTGGTTTTTCTATACCACACAGGCATATGATAGGTTATTTTTTCTCCGACACTTTTCTATCTTAAACATCAGTTGTAACCATGTCACCTGTCATTCCCTGGTATATAAAGACAGGCTGGTCTTTTCCCAGGCAATAATGTAAATCCATGGAAGACGGGAAAGTTTTGCAATCTTTGCAATATTGGACTGTAAATGTTAGGTCATATGCCCTTAATAGGTTTGTCACCCTGGTAATATACTAGCCGCTTCCTACCGTCTCGGTAAGGGAGAATTTCTCTTTAGCTCATTCGGTGGAGCGTTAGACTAGTTAGCCAGAGGTCCCAAGAGGGTTCGAATCCTAGCGGAGGTATTGAAAAAATAAAGACCTGTTACATGTTTTTGAAACAAATTGACTAAATCTGGTTAGTTGTCAGTAGATGCTCTGTACTAAATTTGCTTTTGAGTTTGAGTTAGATCTTGACCTGTGTTGTGTATACTTAATTTGATTGCTGGCACCTTTGTTGACAATACATTTTCACAACAAAACCTCAAGCAGGGGACATTATACATTCCGTTGTGTAACTGGACAAGGCCATTTGTCTATGTAGATCATCAGTAAAGTTTGGAAGCACTGGTACTTTATACCATTCATGTACAATCTTAGTACCCGCACCACCATTAGTTTATAAGTACAGCAAATATAGTAACTGATTAAAAGCATATGATACCACCAGACCTCAAAAAGTTCAAAATACAAGTTGTAATAGCGCTTAACTAGCAAATCTTTTTCTGAAGAGATGATGACTGCCAATATTAATCACCAATTTCTTCAATGTCTACAAAAAATTGCACCAAAAATAAAGAAAATACACATAGCTTATAAAACATTTACTGTTATATTTAATATGAATGATGCAAAGTATTACAAGCAATCAACAGTGCCCTTACTCTGGACAAACATTGTTATCAAAACATGATCAAAGAGCCCTAACTATTATGTAGTAGGGTATTGCACCTGATTTTACTATGCGACACTCCACCATACCAAGAGGTACTCTCATACGAAATTCTGCTATTATGTAGGCAATTGGAGCATATGGGACAGGCAAAGGACAAAAAGATGCTAAGTTAACAAAGCGTACTTATAACTCTACAAACTGAGAGACAAGACCTGATTTTATTTAGTAATAATGAGATGTACGAACAGGTACTTCAATTAAAAATTTGGTAATGACAGAATGACATTAAATTTCTTATACCTTGGTATACTGAAGACACATGGTGATCAAAGGGCCATAACTCTTTATATAGTACAACACAAGACCCATTTCCAGAATGTGATATTCCACCTAACTGGGAGATAACCGACCTTACTGAGAGATACCCCACCTTACTGAGAGATACCCCACCTTACTGAGAGATACCTCACCTTACTGAGAGATATCCGACCTTACTGAGAGATACTCAACCTTATTGAGAGATACCTCACCTTACTGAGATATACCCCCCCTTACTGAGATATACCCCCCCCTACTGATATATACCCCACCTTACTGAGAGATCCCCCACATTACTGAGAGATCCCCCACATTACTGAGATTTACCCCACATTACTGAGAGATACCCCTCCTAACTGAGAGATACCCCACATTACTGAGAAATAACCCACCTTACTGAGATATACCCCACCCTACTGATATATACCCCACCATACGGAGAGATACCCCACCTTACTGAGAGATACCCCACCTTACTGAGAGATACCCCACATTACTGAGAGATACCCCACATTACTGAGAGATCCCCCACCTTACTGAGAGACACCCCACCTTACTGAGATATACCCCCCCCTACTGAGAGATACTCCACCTTACTGAGAGATACCCCACATTACTGAGAGATCCCCCACCTTACTGAGAGACACCCCACCTTACTGAGATATACCCCCCCCTACTGATATATACCCCACCTTACTGAGAGATACCCCGAGATACCCCAACTTACTGAGAGATACCCCGCCTTACTGAGAGATACCCCACCCTACTGAGATATACCCCACCTTACTGAGATATACTCCACCTTACTGAGAGATACCTCACCTTATTGAGAGATACCCCACCTTACTGAGTTATACCCCCCCTTACTGAGATATACCCCACCTTACTGAAAGATACCCCACCTTACTGAGAGATACCCCTCCTTACTGAGATATACCCCACCCTACTGAGAGATACCCCACCTTACTGAGAGATTCCCCTCCTTACTGAGAGATACCCCAACTTACTGAGATATACCCCACCTTACTGAGATATATCCCACCTTACTGAGAGATACCCCACCTTTCTGAGAGATACCCCACCTTACTGAGATATCCCCCACCTTACTGAGAGATACCCGACCTTACTGAGATACCCGACCTTACTGAGAGATACCCGACCTTACTGAGAGATATCCGACCTTACTGAGAGATACCCCACCTTACTGCGATATACCCCACCTTACTGAGATATACCCCCCCCTACTGATATATACCCCACCTTACTGAGATATCCCCCTCCTTACTGAGATATCCCCCACCTTACTGAGAGATACCCGACCTTACTGAGAGATACTCCACCCTACTGAGATATACCCCACCCTACTGAGAGATACCCCACCTTACTGAGAGATACCACACCTTACTGAGATATACCCCACCTTACTGTGATATACCCCACCTTACTGAGAGATACCCCACCCTACTGAGAGATACCCCACCTTACTGAGAGATACCACACCTTACTGAGATATACCCCACCTTACTAAGAGATACCCCACCTTACTGAGAGATACCTGAGAGATACCCCACCCTACTGATATATACCCCCACCTTACTGAGAGATACCTCACCTTATTGAGAGATACCTCCCCTTACTGAGAGATACCCCACCTTACTGAAAGATACCCCACCTTACTGAGAGATACCCCACCCTACTGATATATACCCCCACCTTACTGAGAGATACCTCACCTTATTGAGAGATACCCCACCTTACTACCCCACCATACGGAGAGATACCCCACCTTACTGAGAGATACCCGACCTTACTGAGAGATACTCCACCCTACTGAGATATACCCCACCCTACTGATATATACCCCACCTTACTGAGATATCCCCCTCCTTACTGAGATATCCCCCACCTTACTGAGAGATACCCCACATTACTGAGAGATCCCCCACCTTACTGAGAGACACCCCACCTTACTGAGATATACCCCCCCCTACTGATATATACCCCACCTTACTGAGATATACCCCCCCCTACTGATATATACCCCACCTTACTGAGAGATACCCCTCCTTACTGAGAGATACCTCGCCTTACTGAGATATACCCCACCTTACTGAAAGATACCCCACCTTACTGAGAGATACCCCAACTTACTGAGATATACCCCACCTTACTGAGATATATCCCACCTTACTGAGAGATACCCCACCTTTCTGAGAGATACCCCACCTTACTGAGATATACGCCACCTTACTGAGATATACCCCACCCTACTGAGATATACCCCACCTTACGGAGAGATACCCCACCTTACTGAGAGATACTCAACCTTACTGAGAGATACCCCACCTTACTGCGAGATACCCCACCTTACTGAGAGATACTCAACCTTATTGAGAGATACCCCACATTACTGAGATATACCCCATCTTACTGAGATATACCCCACCTTACTGAGATATATCCCACCTTACTGAGAGATACCTCACCTTATTGAGAGATACCCCACATTACTGAGATATACCCCACCTTACTGAGATATATCCCACCTTACTGAGAGATACCCCACCTTTCTGAGAGATACCCCACCTTACTGAGATATCCCCCACCTTACTGAGAGATACCCCACCCTACTGAGATATACCCCACCTTACTGAGATATACTCCACCTTACTGAGAGATACCTCACCTTATTGAGAGATACCCCACCTTACTGAGTTATACCCCACCTTACTGAGATATACCTCACCTTACTGAGAGATACCCCACCTTACTAAGAGATACCTCGCCTTACTGAGAGATACCCCACCTTACTGAAAGATACCCCACCTTACTGAGAGATACCCCTCCTTACTGAGATATACCCCTCCTTACTGAGATATACCCCACCTTACTGACAGATACCCCAACTTACTGAGAGATCCCCCACCTTACTGAGAGATACCCCGCCTTACTGAGAGATACCCCACCCTACTGATATATACCCCCACCTTACTGAGAGATACCTCACCTTATTGAGAGATACCCCACCTTACTGAGTTATACCCCACCTTACTGAGAGATACCCCCCCTTACTGAGAGATACCTCACCTTACGGAGAGATACCCCACCTTACTGAGATATACCCCCCCCTACTGAGAGATACTCCACCTTACTGAGAGATACCTCACCTTATTGAGAGATACCCCACCTTACTGAGTTATACCCCACCTTACTGAGATATACCTCACCTTACTGAGAGATCCCCCACCTTACTGAGAGACACCCCACCTTACTGAGATATACCCCCCCCTACTGATATATACCCCACCTTACTGAGATATCCCCCTCCTTACTGAGATATCCCCCACCTTACTGAGAGATACCCCACCCTACTAAGATATACCCCACCTAACTGAGAGATACTCCACCTTACTGAGATATACCCCACCTTACTGACAGATACCCCAACTTACTGAGAGATCCCCCACCTTACTGAGAGATACCCCACCCTACTAAGAGATACCCCACCTAACTGAGAGATACTTCACCTTACTGAGATACCCCAGCCTACTTAGATATACCCCCCATTATTGAGAGATACCCCACCCTACTGAGAGATACCCCACCCTACTGAGAGATACCCCACCTTACTGAGAGATACCCCACCCTACTAAGATATACCCCACCTAACTGAGAGATACTTCACCTTACTGAGATACCCCAGCCTACTTAGATATACCCCACATTATTGAGAGATACCCCACCCTACTGAGAGATACCCCACCCTACTGAGAGATACCCCACCTTACTGAGATATACCCCACCTTACTGAGAGATACTTCACCTTACTGAGATACCCCACCCTACTTAGATATACCCCACATTACTGAGAGATACCCCACCCTACTGAGAGATACCCCACCTTACTGAGAGATACCCCACCTTACTGAGATATACCCCACCTTACTGAGAGATACCCCACCTTAATGAGAAATACCCCACCCTACTGAGAGATACCCCACCTTACTGAGAGATACCCCACCTTACTGAGAGATACCTCACCTTACTGTGAGATACCCACATTGATGAGAGATACCCCACCTTACTGAGAGATACCCCACCTTACTGAGAGATACCCCTCCTTACTGAGAGATACCCCGCCCTACTGAGAGATACCCCCCCTTACTGAGAGATATCCGACCAAACTGAGAGATACCCCACCCCACTGAGATATACCCCACCTTTCTGAGATATACCCCACCTTATTGAGAGATACCTCACCTTACTGAGATATACCCCAACTGACTGAGAGATACCCCACCTCACTGAGAGATACCCCACCTTAATGAGAGATACCTCGCCTTACTGAGATATCCCCCCCCTTACTGAGAGATACCCCATCTTACTGAGATATACCCCACCTTACTGACAGATAACCCAACTTACTGAGAGAGACCCCACCTTACTGAGAGAAACCCCACCTTACTGAGAGATCCCTCCCCTTACTGAGATACCCCAGCCTACTTAGATATACCCCACCTTAATGAGATATACCCCACCTTATTGAGAGATACCTCACCTTAGTGTGAGATACCCACATTGATTAGAGATACCCCACCTTACTCCCACCTTACTGAGAGATACCACTCCCTACTGAGATATACCCCATCTTACTGAGATATACCCCACCATACTGAGAGATACCCCACCCTTCTGAGAGATACCCCAACTTCCTAAGAGATACCCCACCACACTGAGACATACCCCACCTTCCTGAGAGATACCCCACCTTCCTGAGAGATACCTCACCTTACTGAGAGAGACCCGACCTTACTGAGATATCCCCCCCCTTACTGAGAGATCCCTCCCCTTACTGTGAGATACCCACATTGATTAGAGATACCCCACCTTACTATACCCCAACTTACTGAGAGATTGAGAGATACCCCGCCTTAATGAGAAATCCCCCACCCTACTGAGAGATACCCCACCATATTGAGAGATACCCCAACTTACTGAGATATACCCCACCCTACTGAGATATACCCCACCCTTCTGAGATATACCCCACCTTTCTGAGAAATACCCCCCCCTACTGAGAGATACCCCCCCACCTTACTGAGATATACCACACCTTACTGAGAGATACCACTCCCTACTGAGATATACCCCACATTGCTGAGATATACCCCACATTACTGAGAGATACCTCACTTTACTGTGAGATACCCACAGAGATACCCCACCTTACTACCCCACCTTACTGAGAGATTCCCCACCTTAATGAGAAATGCCCCACCCTACTGAGAGATACCCCGCCTTAATGAGAAATCCCCCACCCTACTGAGAGATGCCCCACCTTTCTGAGAGATACCCCACCTTGCTGAGAGATACCTCGCCTTACTGAGAGATACCCCTCCCTACTGAGATATACCCCACCATACTGAGAGATACCCCACCCCACTGAGATATACCCCACCTTACTAAGAGATACCTCGCCTTACTGAGATATACCCCCCCTTACTGAGAGATCCCTCCCCTTACTGAGATACCCCAGCCTACTTAGATATACCCCACCTTAATGAGAGATACCTCGCCTTACTGAGATATCCCCCCCCTTACTGAGAGATACCCCTCCCTACTGAGATATACCCCATCTTACTGAGAGATACCCGACCTTACTGAGATATACCCCCCCCTTACTGACAGATACCCCAACTTACTGAGAGATTGAGAGATACCCCGCCTTACTGATAGATACCCCACCTTACTGAGACATACCTCACCTTACTGTGAGATTCCCACATTGATGAGAGATACTCCACCTTACTGAGAGATACCCCACCCTACTGAGAGATACCTCACCTTACTGAGAGATACCCGACCTTACTGAGATATACCCCACCTTACTGAGAGATACCCCACCTTACTGAGAGATACCCGACCTTACTGAGAGATATCCGACCTAACCGAGAGATACCCCACCTTACTGAGATATACCCCACATTACTGAGATATACCCCACCTTATTGAGAGATACCCCACCTTACTGAGAGATACCTCGCCTTACTGAGATATACCCCACCTTACTGAGATATAACCCACCTTACTGAGAGATACCCCAACTTACTGAGATATACCCCCCCCTACTGAGATATACCCCACCCTACTGAGAGATACCCCACCCTACTGAGAGATGCCCCACCTTACTGAGAGATACCCCGCCTTACTGAGATATACCCCACCTTACTGAGAGATATCCGACCTAACTGAGAGATACCCCACCTTACTGAGATATACCCCCCCTTACTGAGAGATGCCCCACCTTTCTGAGAGATACCCCACCTTACTGAGAGATACCCCAACTTACTGAGATATACCCCCCCCTACTGAGATATACCCCACCTTACTGAGAGATACCCCAACGTACTGAGATATACCCCACCCTACTGAGATATCCCCCACCCTACTGAGATATACCCCACCTTACTGAGAGATACCCCAACGTACTGAGATATACCCCACCCTACTGAGATATCCCCCACCCTACTGAGATATACCCCACCTTACTGAGAGATACCCCACCTTGTTGAGAGATACCCAACCTTACTGAGAGATACCCCACCTTACTAAAAGATACTCCACCTTACTGAGATATACCCCAACTTACTGAGAGATACCTAACCTTACTGAGAGATACCCCACCTTACTGAGAGATACCCCACCCTACTGAGAGATACCCCACCTTACTGAGAGATACCCCCCCCTACTGAGATATACCCCACCCTACTGAGATATACCCCAACTTACTGAGAGATCCCCCACCTTACTGAGAGATACCCCACCTTACTGAGAGATACCCCACCATATTGAGAGATACCCCAACTTACTGAGAGATACCTCGCCTTACTGAGAGATACTCCACCTTACTGAGAGATACCTCACCTTATTGAGAGATACCCCACCTTACTGAGAGATACCCCAACTTACTGAGAGGTACCCCACCTTACTGAGAGATACCCCACCTTGCTGAGAGATACCCCACCTTACTGAGAGATACCCCACCTCACTCAGATATACCCCACCTTACTGAGAGATACCCCACCCTACTGAGATATTCCCCACCTTACTGAGAGATCCCCCACCTTACTGAGAGATACCCCACCTTACTGAGAGATACCCGTTTACAAAAACTGGCAATTTAGTTGGTGGAATCCCTTATAAGATATGCCCTGACAGTGAGCAAAGGGTCAGAACTATCAAGTGGGGTATTAACCCAATTTTAAACATGTGACACTCCGCCATATAAAGAGGTGCTCCCATACACATTGGGTATATGTAGGCGACAGAATATGTGAATACTGCCACAATGTGAATTAGTACCGACAGATCAAGTGAAAATTCATATTTCTAATATTCTTTACAAAAAAAATAGAAAATTCAACAATTACAAAAGTTGATAAATGTATTGTACATATATATTTCGGGAATACATTAATTTACTGTAAAAACAAAAAAGGAAATCCAAATATCATAAACCTGAAAATTCATTTAGTAGTGTATTTACTAGCATGGATGAAACCAACATGAAAATGACTAGATTTTGAATGAAAAATTTGAAGAATACATGAGCTTTTCAAAAGTACTTTTCATATCTTTATAACATACATGTATTAAGACATATATTTTAATTTAAGTGAAACGGTTCAACTTAATAACAATTCATTTCTATGTTGATTTTTTAATTAATTCACACACATTCCTGAGCAGAATAGCAATCCTTACTGCTTTACATCCGACAGCAATTTGAATTACAATCACCTGAGCAAGTTTCTATGTTTTAATTGCAGAAATAGTAGTTTCCCTTTTCCTGGGCAAATGTATCACTATCCTTCGGGGCAGTTGTTAATGCATAATGATGATGAGATTACCTCATGTCAACAATTAAAAAATTTCTGTCAAAACTGCATGCCTTTCCACAAACATTAGGAGTTTTCACTGAGCAGGAATGATGTGGCTTTGTATCATTCTATTTTACAAACTCTTCCACAGCTGATTGCAGGGGAAGGCAAAACATTAAAAAAAAATAGCTTTTGATGTGTTTCCCCCTCTGGAATCTTTCACATACATAGAAACATGATTCTGTTTTCCAAAAAATCATTTTTCCTTTATAGGCAACCAAATATTTTCAAAAGAAATGACGACTCGGTGCCACTGAAAAGTTCCTATACTGATGACACTATATCTATGAACCAACAGACGGATACAAAACAAGGTCAATAGGTATGTCATTTGTATCTGTGGGCACTGTATCACAGATCTGTTCGTTAAATGCCAGTGCGACTGTAAAGGGGAGACAACCAGCTTTGGTACACTTCTCCAGGTAGGTGTCGTAGTAGCCCTTGCCCCTCCCCAGACGAGCTCCGTCCTTGGTGAACCCTAGGCCAGGCATCACCATCACATCCAGACCACCTGGGAAAGAAAAACAAATCTCAATTTCAAAACCAAATCGTTTAGCAACTCTTTTTAAACACTAAGAAAAGATCAATTTTTTGTTAAATAAAATTCCAGTTTTTTTAAACAAATCCATATAGATATTCACCAGCTTAAACATAAGCAGACATCAAAAGCAACAATTGTGATCCACGGGAAAACCTAACACTACAGTTTGATTCTCACAGAACACAACAATTTCAGCAAGAATTTATATCATATTTTATATTATACTTCTGTTTACAGAGGTGAAATGATACACTCTAGTATTAGTTCAATACCTATCTATAGGAGGAAATTTCTCAAAAACTGAATAATAATCAAATCATCCATAACTAAGTATAAAACTATTCACAGCTACGTGTTTTTAAGGTTAAGTTTACTCATTGATTGACTTAGCAGCGTAGTCAAATTAACTCAATGGTATATATTCAAATTTAATTTTCCATCCTTAAGGAATAATCAACATTGAATGTACGTAGAATGCACATAAATATTTACACAGTTGAGTGTTAAATCTGTAAATATATACCCTTGGTCTCATTAACTTGGTAGCACTGTAATTAAGAAAACAACAGCTAATTTAATCGCCAGGACCTGTGTTCAGAGCGTCCTCCCTCAAGTCATCATCAGCAGGTTGTTTTATTTTCCACTTCGTCATTGGCAGACTTTCATATTCCTCAAACGACTTCAGTTTCACCATCTTCATTACCAGACCAATATACTGGGGGACAAAGCACTCCTTCTTGGTGTCCAGTAGTGTCTTTAACAGGGGCACAGTCTTCACCTCGTCAGTCATGTTTAAATATAGACACACACGCTGGCAGTTCTGGATCTGTGGTAACTTCAACAGCTGTCAATAAATAAGTTTGTACTTCTGTCAGGGTCCTATTACTTAAAGCATTTTTATTTTGTGAAGTAAAGCTTTGAACAGATCTGCGAGGTTTAAAATTCACAAAACATCATTAATAGTCTGACACTATAATAGTCAGTTAATAGTTAACTGGAGAATGTCGATAAAAATATCTAGTTCTTCTGGAGAGTCTCAAAATGTATAATCCACAACTGAGGATCACGAGGAATTTACAATTTAAAAAAAAAGATCTGTCTGAAACTTCTTGAGAAATAGCATTAACATCTTGACCTGTCAAAATCCAAGATATAGATCGGCACCTGTAGCCATTTTGTTCTTACTCTCATTCTCAAATTGAAACATACCCAACTAAGGACAAGGAGAAACTACATATCAAATTTGCGAAAGATTATAGCCCAGTACTTCTTGAGAAAAAAGGCAACAAGAATATTTTAAGAAAGGACCATGCAGAAAGGTAATTTGATAACCCCAAGCCCACCACCTGATGGCAGTGGGTTAAAAATAAAAGATATTCAATGGAGATGGGAAAAAAAATCAAATTATTTCATGTGAAAGAAAATATCTCTGTCACCTTTTCTACAACAATCCTAGATTGCTGTTCTTTCTCCTGCTCGGATAGCACGGCTACCCTCTTCTTTATCTCCTTGCGGAGGACATTCTTGGCACTGCGGATTGCAGCAGAGGCAGACATACTGGCTACTCAGCTACTTAGTACTGTTTTGTACAGAGATATTATAGCTACTTAGTACTGTTTCGTACAGAGATATTATAGCTACTTAGTACTGTTTTGTACAGAGATATTATAGCTACTAAGTACTGTTTCGTACAGAGATATTATAGCTACTTATTAGTACTGTTTCGTACGGAGATATTATAGCTACTCAGTACTGTTTTGTACAGAGATATTATAGCTACTTCTATTTATTGATCAACTCAGTTGCATCCATTGAACTGTGTCCTTGTTTTCTGTAAGTAAACAAAAATGTTTAGATATAAAAGTAACAATCGAGAGATGGAGTTAGGTTCCTCAATCATGTTTAACTAAGATTCCTCAATAAGTGATGGTTATCATGTTTATCTAACTAAGGTTCCTCAATAAGTGATTGTTATCATGTTTATCTAACTAATGTTTCCCAATCGCTGAGTGTTATCATGTTTATCTAACTAATGTTTCCCAATAAGTGATGGTTATCTTGTCTTAGTAATGCACCTGAATAAGAAATGGTTGATTCATCTAACTTAAATGGTCCCCAATAAGTGATGATTGATGATCATGTTAATATCTTCTTATAGTGTCCATAACTTGAAAACAGACAGTCCTATAATTTAGTATATCTGACAGCGTTGTCGGCCCGTTTGAAAAACAAAGTTAAGACATTGAAATTGAATGTCTTAATCAAAGCACAATATATTGCTACTTATATGGACGACAGAGTTATCGCCCCTCTTTGTGTGTTTTTTTCGTAATATCTTGGTTTTAGCTCATGTTTAACGGCATTTGAGAAATGTAAGAGCTGTCATGCGCAAATTTTATGCATGCACAAACAAAATAATGTTGATGTCATTACAATCTAGGATCTCAATGCATGTTTAAATTAAATGACAAACTTGTCCAATTGCACAAAAGTGTTGACATTGTCAGATGACATGACGGCTCCATGCGCAGTAACATTGGATGGAGGCACATGAGAGGAGATGCTCCCACTTTATCTGCCATTTGGTTTTAGATTCACAAAAGTATCCGCAACATGATAACGCTATTTCCACATAACCAACTTACAATCTACATAAAGTTAAAAGTTGACAGCTTCTATCAAAACAAAGGGCAGGAAGTGCTTATAGTTATCCCCCCCTTTGTTACGTGTGTTTTGCCATGCATTTCCGGAAACGAAACCGACTTTTGACAGGTCCGGGATAGGCCTAGCTCCTAAAAAGCTCTGTTTACTCAAATTTCCTTCCATGGAATTTGACAATGGGTATTCAAATATGAAAATGGTTAATTGTGTCTTAAATGTTGATACATAAATGAGTCAAATAGCAACCTAAAACTGAAAGGTCTCTGTTATGAGCAACGGGCACCTGCGACCCTCCTCCCGTGGGGGGCTGTTTGGTAAGAAAAATGAAGACTACGTTTACAGTGGAGCTCAAGTCCAGAATGTCAAAAAGAACCGGGTATATGTTTTCGGGGACACCGATGTGGCGGATGATGAAGTCGTTGAATTTGAAATGGAAATGCGATCAAGAAAAGCGCCTAAGACCATCGACCCAAAGGAAAAAGAACCTATTTACTTCGAAAGAGAAGTCGCAGAAGGCGATAGTTTACGAAGTCTGGCTCTTCAGTACGGTTGTGCGGTACGTTCTTATTAACTTACATAGTAAGAGAAAAGATTATTATAACATATTGTTTTACTCTTTGATGGTGTTTTAATTATTTGCTATTTTCCAAATGAAGATTTATTACAATAAAAGGGGGTAAATTTGTTATTTAGGGGGGTATTCGATATATTCACATATACATGTATAATTAACATATTTGTAGACATAAACAAGTTGCTGAACAAATTTAATATCGGAAAGTTGTTGCTGTTACCACGGACTTATATAATCTAATTCCGTGCCGTGACTGATATTTGTATATAATATGATTATCTAGAAATTACCTAACCTGATGAATAGGCCAACCAAAGTTATACATAAATTATAGATATACACCAAGATTAAGTATAGGTGTAAAAGATGTGTATTGACTAGGTTGCCTTACAAGCACCAGCTGTAGGGGAATTTCTCTTTAGCTCAGCAGTATAGCATCGAGCTGTAGAGCCAAAGGTCGCACTGGTTCGAGCCCCAGCGATGGCACTATCTTTATCACTATTCGTCATCCTACTACAAACTGGTGCCGTTGACCCTCCCCGTTCAAGGTAGGAGAACCGTTGGCGGGGAGTCAAAGAACCAGGGTTGGTGTTTGAAGAAAGCGAAAAATTGTGTAAAAAAAGGATGTGCATTGATTAGGTTGTCTTGCAAGCATCAGCTGTAGGGAATTTCCCTTTAGCTGTGTGGTATAGCCAATGGTTGCAGGTTTGAGCCCCAGCGAAGGCACTATCTTTATCCTCGTTCCTCGTCCTACTTCATAGGTATTTAAGTTTATTTTTCAAAATGCTATCAGAATATACATTCAAAATGTGGATGTAGTTTTCTAGGGACAGTGTTTGTTTGAAAATTGTCATAATATTTCAAGAATTGACACTAAAACCTAGGATAGGTATGCATGTATATGATACCCTAAAACAGATCAATTATTTGTTCTGTTTTATCTATCGGATTATTATTTGTCCTTAGATCTGTTAAAACTGACAAAAAACATTTGATAATCTTCTTCAGGTGTCGGAACTGAAAAGAATCAACAACTTTATACAAGATCAGGATTTCTATGGTTATAAAGTAGTAAAGGTGCCTTTAAAAAGGCATTCATTCCTGACGGAACAAATCGCACGGGGGAAGGAAGAACAGACAAAACAGCAATCAAGGACAGCACAGAGCAATGGTATGACGGTGGTGGATGAAACATGTGAAAGCAGTCATGATTTACAAGATGAGACAGACAACGATTCAATTTGTGACATGAGTGACCCTGAAACTCAAAATTTGATCATACGAACATTGAGTATAAGCGAAGCACTCAATAGCCAGTCTCGAGATGCTAAAAACTTTTTACATAACATGGACAAGGATTTGTCAGAAATCAGACGTGCAAATGACAGAACAAATCGTCGCTCACTTGATGAAGTTGTGTCTTTGTTAACTAACCGAACAATTAGGCCTTTCCCGAAAAATAGGAACAAGAGCGACGGTGCCAACTGGGGGATTTCCTGGAAATCACTTGTAATTGGTCTTATTGCCTTAGTAGTTATATGTCCTGTGATATTCTATCTTTTTGTTAAATATTCCTAACAATAGTTATAAAGACTACTAGTTGTCAGGCAGTTATAGGAAGGCTACAAAGTTATTCATATATTTAATACTGCTAGAGTAAACAAAAATTATCCATCTGCCGTTTTGTTAATGTTGACATCGTGTGATGGGAGAAAGTTATGAACAGAGACCAGAGGGCCTAACCAAGACTGACCCTTGTTCATTGTGACAAGGGAAACAACTCCTTGTACACTAAGCAGATGAATCAATAAATCTTTCTTGTAGATATCTTATATGGTTACTTGAGCATTGTCCAAAATAACCGGTTAGTGCTCTGTGCAGAGAACATCCTTCTCTGTGTATACATATTTGATAAAGTAATTTTTTACTGCTCAAAATAACTTGTTAGGCTGAAAATATTGCTGAAATTTATGTTTTAGTCATTCGGCTCAAAGAGGATAAATATGGATAATTTTATTGATATTAGCAGGATACATTACTAGTACATGTATAGACAAATACATTGTTTTAGTGTTGGTATACTTTTATTCTGAGGTCTAAGGTCAAATGTATAACTATAAGATCTTGTCGGGCATTGAAATCACATAAATATCTTATACAACGAGGAAGAAACTTGAATGAACTAATAGTCTTCTTGTTTTTTAGAAGAATGATGTTACATTTAGGCTGTAACTACCAAGGTATTGTAATGCACAACCTATTGTTTGTGGCATAAAATGCAGGACATTTTATATAAATTTACACGTCATGACATGGCAATGCATATTCTGACCTTATAGCCAACATAGGATCCTTATTGGCAAGATTACTTAATTACTCATTAAGCGAGGTATACAGAGTTAGATGTTTACAAAAAATAATTAACATAAATACCAGTTGGTTATAAGTATGAGTTTGCAATAAGCAGGTTCAATATAACTCTTCTTCACTGGATACGATTAATAAGCTTCTTCCTTAGAACCAGTTTAACAGGGTAGAGGGAAGGGGCTTTATATCAAGCATGTAGTTATCATAGTTATTATTGTACATACAGTTCCTTAATATATAAACACTGAACACTTTCTGTAAGAGTTGCTAAAACTTTATTGAAAAAATTAACAGAACGTTATTATACATACACCTGTATGTTTGTGAATATAGAGACCATGTATACTTGTATGTGTGTGAATGAAGAGGAATGTTTTAAGAGAAATACTAAGTTAAGTTAATTTGCTAATGTATATGTCTGCTTATATGTGAACCTTGTTGTGGTACATGTCATATAAATTTGTTTTAACTACTGTGTAGCTAAACATAATGTATTCTGTTAAATATTTCGTCCGGATCAATTAACATCATGTACAGGAAAACATGTTGAGTTCTCATACTCATATAATAGTTATTGAAAAACTTAGTTTTAATTTTATTCATTACATGGTCAGATTATTGATCACACATCACAAAGTGAAGTGAGCATGGAGGGTACACATGCCACAGGTGGGCAATTATTAAAAATAACAAAAAATAAACAATAGCATTGGTTCAAGAATACGTACATGTACTGACTTTAATATTTGATTGTCGTGTATTACATACTCTTTATCTACGTATCACTATCTAAATGTCTCTTTATCTACGTATCACTATCTGATGGTCTGTCTGGTTTACTTATGGTAAAGGGTCAAATTTGCATATCCCAGTTGAAATGGTTCAGGTGGCGCATAAATATTCTGTAGTAAACGAATGCACTTGAAATGAACTGTAGGCAGAGCTAAAAAATGCACAGTTTCAGAGTTTTGTTACAAATAGATAAAAATGTTCAAGAATAATATGTCCTTCTTCGCAAGTCCATTAAGTTAAACAACATATCTTCAAATGTTGACCTTGTTTTATAAAGAATTAACGCAAACTAGCAGTATTCAGCATTTCAGTTCCGGTCAGGCACGTCTGGACCTCTCGATATGCCCAATATTCCTAAAGTGAGCCTCAGTTCAGATCTGAGCCTGTCATTGTCTTTTCATGATCAGCTGGTTGAATTGTTTGACCATGAAGGGGCCCAGGTTTTCCAGTGTAAAATTTGTTGCAATAACAGTCGGTGATAAATGTGTACAAATGGCCTTATATATGTATGGTTTTATTTGAATTAATAGAACTTAACCATTCCATATAACATGTATACAGAAGTCGAGCAGCTAAACATAGATATCCCTGTGTTTGTAGTTAATGGAAATCTGACAATGTAGTGATTTCAGTGACTAGATAGAGAAATGGTGATTTCACAATCAATTCAAAGTATTGGTGATAGATTACTTCATATTTAATTAGAAGTCATTTCACATCATTTATATGCATCATCACATTTCCATGGTGGTTGTCTCCAAAAATAACACAGTGTATTGTTAGATAACTTTCATATTTTCATTATCCCCTGTTTTCATTTCAACCCACAATTAATGTACTGTACGTCCCCATAAATCCCATTTCTATCTGCTAAACCTGTACTGAGGGAGTTGTTTTATAGAGATTCCTGGAGTCTTACAAACGGAACACTATTAAAGAGGGACCAAAACTCTTCAATTAGAAGAATAATCATCACCAAATGTTAGGTTACAATAATAGTAAGATGATATGATAAAAAAAGGCTTTGGAATAGTAAAACAACAGCAACAGGGAATACAAGATAACTAAGTTTATAACAGCAACACTTGACTGCATATACCAGACCTATCAAATGAGGACTACACATTGATTAAAGCGTACCTAAAGATAGACATTCCAGGGTTAAAATTTAAAGGGATTTCTGATTTTATCCAGGGTTAGAAATTTGGAAAAGAAAAAAATATTATGTAAGTTGAGTGTCAAACCTATTTTACAACTAAAAAAGACACACCAAATTTTGATACTGTGCCTTCTTCAGACTGCATTTTTAAAAGGCTAGTTTATGTACTGTTACTGGAAAATCTAAGTCTTCTATAAACTATGATATCACTGTCAATAGAGGAGTGTTGTCATACAATATCATGAAAATAATGGGAAGCCATTTATAAAGAATCATAGTAGTCATGGTTGTGTTTGATAATCTTTGGACGGCCAATCTTACAGCATTACTGTAGTGATACACTAACTATATAGGTACATGTCTGCACACAGCTATACGACACCAGTGATTACACATACAAGTCAATATTTATCTAGAAATACTTTGAACTAGAACAGTTTGCCTTACCAGCTGTTTGTCCTCAACCTTTTGAAACAGCCCTGCTTAGTATTGATCACAACTATGTATACTCTGCTAACTGTATGGAAATTCACTTTGTTTCTTCCCATGTTAGATAGGTCTTGCTTCAGCTAAATGGGAAATAGAAAAGGAGGCAAACATTTCGGTAATTTATCAACCTGAATTCTTTTATCAGAATTGTCTTCGTTCTCCGATTGGTTGTTCAGGTTGTAATATCAGTTTATCATATTTATAGGACCACTATTTATATCCTTACTATTACAGTGATGTGTAAACCTACTGATCAATAACTGAACAATTAACCAAACTCTAGCTAATAATATACATTGGCAATTTAGTGTAAAACTATATTAACTCAGGATTTGATAGAAGATGCTTGTATATTGACTGGCAAGCAAAAAAAGTTCAATATTTGCACATTTTGCTTCAAAACTTTCATTAAAACTGTGTTTGTTAAAAGTGTGATGAGAGTTTACATAGAACAAGGTATTTAGTGCTTTAATCATAATTGTTTCTTGTATGTAAGTTTTACAAAATGATGCTTTAATTAATTATATGAGGATCAGTATCACATTGGAAAATATGGACCAGAACAGCAATGCTATGAACCAGTGCTAAAAATGTCTTCTTTAACTTATCTGTTTATTGGTGAAAAGGCTAGTTTCTGTTATGATGAAGCATGATTATAATCATGATATTAGAAGTATTATTATTTACATTGTAATCGTGACCATGTAGGCCGTGGATACATTTTCTGTGCACAATGATCAATATATAATCAACAATCTGTAGATAAATATTCTGCATTCCACGATTTGAATGTTAGATGTATATTCTTTGTTCAGTGGTATGTAGATACATGTGTTCACTCAGTGAGTTTTGTGGAACTTGCCCACATTTTGAGAACCTCCTTTATCCCTTAGTAATAAGACTCATCATTTTTTTTAATATGACACTTAGGACTCATCTCTACAAAATCCTACAAAAGTCACTGTTCAATGATCGGTAGCTACAGTATATAATATAGATACATATTGTGTGTTCAATGATTAATATTGAGCAAGGTGGACTTCAGCTAATTGTTACTAAGCAAAGGCTGATCTCCAGTAAAATGCTCATAATATTTTGTTTCAAGCACCTCTGTGTGATCTAAACTGCCTTCCTATAAAAGCAAGCTTGTTGTAAAATATATTTCTACTGTTTTCACTGCATCTGCTTTTGGCAGAAGTAGTCTGCAAGAAATGTTAAATTGAAATATATGTTAAAGACATGTTGATGAGCTACTTAATTAGCTGTGGATACTGTAGTTGATTGGCCTGGGTTTATCGGAACTGATATAGCCTTTAGTCAGAATACTTGTACATGTGTAACACAGGTCAGTGAGCTAACAGATCCACAACTACACACTGCTGCTTCAGGTCAGTGAGCTAACAGGTCCACAGCTACACACTGCTGATTCAGGCCAGTGAGCTAACAGGTCAACAGCTACAATGTACACACTGCTGCTTCAGGTCAGTGAGCTAACAGATCCACAGCTACACACTTCAGCTTCAGGTCAGTGAGCTACCAGGTCCACAGCTACACACTTCAGCTTCAGGTCAGTGAGCTGACAGGTCCACAGCTACACACTTCAGCTTCAGGTCAGTGAGCTAACCGGGTCACAGCTACAATGTACACACGGCTGCTTCAGGTCAGTGAGCTTACAAATCCACAGCTACACACTTCAGCTTCAGGTCAGTGAGCTCACAGGTCCACAGCTACACTCCTCCTTCTGGTGAGTGAGCTCACAGGTCCACAGCTACACTCCTCCTTCTGGTGAGTGAGCTCACAGGTCCACAGCTACACACTTCAGCTTCAGGTCAGTGAGCTACCAGGTCCACAGCTACACTACTGCTTCAGGTCAGTGATCTAACAGGTCCACAGCTACACTACTGCTTCGGGTCAGTGAGCTAACAGGCCCACAGCTACACACTGCTGGTTCAGGTCAGTGAGCTAACAGTTCCACAGCTACACACTGAAGCTTCATGTCAGTGAGCTAACAGGACCACAGCTACACTACTGCTTCTGGTCAGTGAGCTAACAGTTCCACAGCTACACACTGAAGCTTCATGTCAGTGAGCTAACAGGACCACAGCTACACTACTGCTTCTGGTCAGTGAGCTAACAGATCCACAGCTACACTCTGCTGCTTCAGGTCAGGGAGCTAACAGATCCACAACTACACACTGTTGCTTCAGGTCAGTGAGCTACCAGGTCCACAGCTACACCCTGCTGCTTCAGGCCAGTGAGCTGACAGGTCCACAGCTACAATGTGCACACTTCTGCTTCAGGTCAGTGAGCTAACAGGTCAACAGCCACAATGTACACACTGCTGCCTCAGGCCAGTGAGCTAACAGGACCACAGCTACACTACTGCTTCAGGTGAGTGAGCTAACAGGTCCACGGCTACACACTGCTGCTTCAGGCCAGTGAGCTAACAGGTCCACAGCTGCAATGTACACACTGCTGCTTCGGGTCAGGGCTAGTACTTATGATTTAAAAGTTCAGGTATGCATGCATGCAGTAAGGCTTGAGAGAATGTTTTTATGTAAAGCCTTTCCTGGGGGATTGCAGAAGCAAGTAAGAGTTCTGTTTGTTTTAAATGTGTATGTTTCAGCAGGAATGTGAAGACTGATTTTGAATATTGATTTGTGAAAAAGTCAGATTTCTATCAGAAAAATGTTGTGTTATGTCTGAGCAAAAAAATTGAATGCTGAGTAAAATGTTACTACTTCTCGTTGTACATGTACTTACTAAAATTGTTTGACTTAAGGAAAAGCAATGTTCAGTGTATTGTGTAATTAAGATAGTATCTGATGTATTCAGCTTATTATGGGCAGTTGGACAAGGAATCATTTGTTTTATTACTTGCTAATAAGTTTGCCAGTATTATCTGTTGATATATTGTCACCAAAAAGGACCACCAAGTAATTACTTTTATTGATTTATAAACTTATCATCAAATATCTTGCTACATCAGTGACATTTACATTAAATGTGTAACAATGCAAACCATTTTAAAGTTAAAATCTCGAGATTTAAGTCTGAAAAGATGCAGTTATATCATTTATGTTCATCTATGTATTATGAAATTTCAACACAATTTTTCGAGTCGCCTACCCGAGTTTTAAGAATTCATGTAATTGTTTACTTATCTCTTTTCTGTCTAAAAGTGGAATGACACTCCTGTTGGTCTCTAGCCAGATTTGTGATCTCTACGACAGAAGAGAGCTGTGGGTCTGTAGCCAGATTTGTTATCTCTGCGATAGAAGAGATCTGTTGGTCTGGAGCCAGATTGTTATCTCTATGACAGAAGAGGTCTGTTGGTCTGTAGCCATATTTGTGATCTCTATGACAGAAGAGATAACAATCTGGCTACAGGCCAACAGCTCTCTTCTGTCATAGAGATCACAAATCTGTCTACAGACCAACAGGTCTCTTCTGTCGCAGAGATCACAACTCTGGCTACAGACCAACAGATTTCTTCTGTCGCAGAGATCACAACTCTGGCTACAGACCAACAGATTTCTTCTGTCGCAGAGATCACAAATCCGGCTACAGACCAACAGGTCTCTTCTGTCGTAGAGATCAAAAATCTGGCTACAGACCAACAGATTTCTTCTGTCGCAGAGATCACAACTCTGGCTACCGACCAACAGCCCATTTCTGTCATAGAGATCACAAATCTGGCTATAGACCAACAGCCCTCTTCTGTGATAGAGATAACAATCTGGCTCCAGACCAACAGATCTCTTCTGTCGCAGAGAACACAAGTCTGGCTACAGACCAACAGATCTCTTCTGACGTAGAGATCACAAATCTGGCTAAAGACCAACAGCTCTCTTCTGCCGTAGAGATCACAAATCTGGCGACAGACCAACAGATCTCTTCTGTCATACAGATCACAAATCTGGCTACATACCAACAGCTCTCTTCTGTCGTAGACATCACAAATCTGGCTACAGCCCAACAGATCTGTTCTGTCGTAGAGATAACAATCTGGCTCCAGACCAACAGATCTCTTCTGACGTAGAGATCACAAATCTGGCTAAAGACCAACAGCTCTCTTCTGGCATAGAGATCACAAATCTGGCGACAGACCAACAGATCTCTTCTATCGTAGAGATCACAAATCTGGCTAAAGACCAACAGCTCTCTTCTGCCGTAGAGATCACAAATCTGGCTACAGACTAACAGATCTCTTCTGTCATACAGATCACAAATCTGGCTACCGACCAACAGCCCACTTCTGTCATAGAGATCACAAATCTGTCTACAGACCAACAGGTCTCTTCTATCGCAGAGACCTGTTGGTCTGTAGACAGATTTGTGATCTCTATGACGGAAGAGATCTGTTGGTCTGGAGCCAGATTGTTATCTCTATGACAGAAGAGATAACAATCTGGCTACAGGCCAACAGCTCTCTTCTGTCGTAGACATCACAAATCTGGCTACAGCCCAACAGATCTGTTCTGTCGTAGAGATAACAATCTGGCTCCAGACCAACAGATCTCTTCTGTCATACAGATCACAAATCTGGCTACATACCAACAGCTCTCTTCTGTCGCAGAGAGCTGTTGGTCTGTACCCAGATTTGTGATCTCTGCGATAGAAGAGATCTGTTGGTCTGTAGTCAGATTTGTGATCTCTATGACGGAAGAGATCTGTTGGTCTGTAGACAGATTTGTGATCTCTATGACGGAAGAGATCTGTTGGTCTGTAGTCAGATTTGTGATCTCTATGACGGAAGAGATCTGTTGGTCTGTAGTCAGATTTGTGATCTCTACGACAGAAGAGGTCTGTTGGTCTGTAGCCATATTTGTGATCTCTATGACAGAAGAGATCAGTTGGTCTGTAGCCAGATTGTTATCTCTACGACAGAACAGATCTGTTGGGCTGTAGCCAGATTTGTGATGTCTACGACAGAAGAGAGCTGTGGGTCTGTAGCCAGATTTGTGAGCTCTACGACAGAAGAGAGCTGTGGGTCTGTAGCCAGATTTGTGTTCTCTACGACAGAAGAGATCTGTTGGTCTGTAGCCAGATTGTTATCTCTATGACAGAAGAGGGCTGTTGGTCTGTAGCCAGATTTGTTATCTCTGATACAGAAAAGAGCTGTTGGTCTGCAGCATGTTTGGTGGCCATGCTGCGATACTGGTTTTATGTCTATTTTGGGTCATCTCTACCCTCTTCCAATCTGCTGTCTAGTGAAAGATTGTTTTGTGAAACTTAAAAAATTATAATGGTCAAATAAATAAATGTTGACATTTGAGAGGACTGTTATTGTACTGAAGTCGTTGATTTTTTAAGGTTGAAGGGCAGAACTGGTAACCTTATGTCTGTCAGTCAGGGTGTTGTGTGATTGGAGAAAATACTGATACTTTCTGTATATCGGGCTATAATGGGAGAGTAACCGTGTTGTTGGTGAAAAGGTCATTGTATTTAAATCATTATAATTGTACAACAAACAGATTGTAAAATAATTATTTGGTAAGTTATTGTATATAATTTATGTTTGGCGAGGTATGTAAATATAATGTACTTACTAAGTGCTTTCTCGTGTTCGAATGTGTGAGATGTGGGATTTGTAAGAGAAATGTGTATTTTTAAACTATTTAACAGGATCCACATGTACCAGAAGTATTAGTATTTTGCTGGTAGGTGGTTAAATTAAATGATACATTGGAATAAATTTTGCAGGTCAAAATGCTAATTTAACCAATATTATTGTTTACTTTTGAAGAAAGTTTTGTTTAGAATGATTTCTTCACTGCGTCATTGTAGAAAAAATCTTCCATTTTTATGTTATTGTAATTTGGTTGTCATATAGGGAAGTTGGTAAAAGAAAAGCATGTCATTTTTGTTCAAAAAAAAAAGTATCACATGTTTGTGAAGGAAAATGTCACGCTATGTTAAATTAAAGTCATCAAATTTGATATCATAAATCTTATGAATAATATTAAAATGTGAAATTGTTGACCAATGAATATGTGTTGTTGAGATTTGTTGTCAGTTTTGCCTCCATCTTTTGTTAGTATTGAACACAAGGCTTATGTTGCCACCCCAGCGTCTGTGTTTGTAAGTACTGAAACTGAAAACCTGAAGTATTTGTACTTGGATGCTGATGTTTGTTATGGACATTCTTGAGAGGCCAGTTATTGATGCAGTGGATGCAGTCTGAACAGAATTTTATATACCTAGTATAACTTTTGACATGTTTTTGAGTACATGTAAGCTTGCTTTGCCAAAATTTCAAGATGAATTTTTTTGCATACATGCTGATATTCACTATAATATATAACTTTCAATATGTGTACTTTGATACTGTATTTGGTATAAAAGTTCCAAGATGGGGTAAAAAATTGTTGCACAGAAGTGAAATCAACATTCTAATTACTTTTAAGACTTTTGAGACTTTGTCTCAGGTGACCTATTGCGATCGCCTTTTGTCCGTCGTCTGTCGTCCGTTGTCTGTCGTCCGTCATGCATCCGTAAACAATTTACATTTTCGACTTCTCCAAAACCCCTGAACCAATTTCAATGAAATTTTGCAGAAACCTTCCATGGCCAAAGGTCAACAAAAATGGTGAATGATATGGTCCCCCCCAACCAAGAGGCCTAGGATAATGATATTTGGCCAGTAACATGATGTGATGAAGTACTACCAAGTTTGTTCAAATGAATGACCATGACAAATATTCAAGGTCACGGGGGTCAAATATGTTTAAAACCATTAAACAACTTCTCCTTAATAACCAAAATGCCAAGGGTGATGATATTTGGCCAGTAGCATGCTGGAATGAAGGGCTACCAAGTTTGTTCAAATGAATGACCTTCATCCATTTTCAAGGTCACAGGGGTCAATTGTCTTGAAAAATCTTTAAACAACTTCTTCTAAATAACTAAGAGACCTAGTGTGATTATATTTGGCCAGTAGCATGCAGGAATGAAGAGCTTCCGAGTTTGTTCAAATGAATGACCTTGATTTGAAGTCAAGGTCACATGGGTCAAATATGTTTAAAACCATTAAACAACTTCCCGTGAATAACCAAAATGTCCAGGGTGTTGATATTTGGCCAGTATTATACTGTGATGAAGGGCTACCAAGTTTGTTTAAATGAATGACCTTCATCTATTTTCAAGTTCACAGGGGTCAAATATAGGTTAAAAAACTTTAAACACCTTCTGATGAATAACCAAAATGCCTAGGATGATGCTTTTTGGTCAGTAGCATGCTGTGATGAAGAGCTATTTAGTTTGTTCAAATGAATGACCTTCATCTATTTTCAAGGTCACAGGGATCAAATATGTTTAAAATCTTTAAACAAATTCTTCTGAATAACCTAGAGACCTAGCATAATGATATTTGGCCAGTAACATGATGGGATGAAGTACATGTACTACCAAGTTTGTTCAAATGAATAACCTTGACATATATTCAAGGTCACAGGGGACAAATATGTTTAAAACCTTTGAACGACTTCTCAATAAGGAAAAGGCCAAGGGTGATGATATTTGGCCATTAACATGCTGGGATGGAGGACTACCAAGTTTGTTCAAATGAATAACCTTCGCCAATATTCAAGGTCACAGTGGTCAATTTATGTTTAAATCTTTAAATGACTTGTTCTTTATAATTAAAAGGTCCAGGGTAATGATATTTTGCCAGAAGCGTGCTGGGTTGGAATACTATAACCTTAACCTAATGTCCTTGTTCGACATTCAAGGTCACAGGCGTCATATGTTTAAATCTTTTAACAGGTTCTTATGAATCAAACACTGATATTCTGCCTGTAGCTGTATTTTAGTCCACTTTTAAGATTACAAGTGTGAGATAAATACCAGGTGAGCGATTCAGGCCCATTGGGCCTCTTGTTTGTCACTTTGAATAAAACTTCTCTAACACAGTAACTGGGAAACTTTTGCCCTTCAACGATAATATCCATATTCTACCAGTCTTAATTTTGCCCGTTACATATAATTATTATGTATATTAAGCTCTTTACTATTACATGTATTTACTGTAATAATAAATTTGCCCAGGAAGAAAAAAACAAAAACTAAACTGAAGCGAAAATGTTTCCAGTATACAGCATATAAATACAGCTTGTGTTTTGGTGTATTTGATTAATCCTGCTACAATAAAAAGTGTGATTGTTCCACTGTATCCTTTCACTGTCTACTCTTAATAATCCAGCCACTGCAACTAATCTTGTTGTCTGTTCCCCAATATATCTAGCTAGTTACCCAGCTGCGACAAGAAATCCTATTGTCCCACTGTATCCAGTCATTGTCTCAGTAATCTAGCCACAGTCAATTTGGTTGCCCACTAGAACACATTCGTATCCAAGTAACCCAGCTATCATAAATAATTTGCCCTCCTGCATCTATCCAGTTTCCTTTACTCAGTGGCTCCATTACATATCCAGGCATCTTTAAGGTAAACTATCTAATCAGACTTGTTTATTCTGACATCCTGTTGTAGCTGACTACATCTATATAAATATCTGATAACATGTGACTGCTTCACGTATATATCCAAGTGCAATCAAAACGGGATACAAGAATACACTCTTAAAGAGATACGATCGTAGTCTGTCATTCTGTTAAAACAAGCTGTGACTTCAATATACGATCCACTGCCCCCATTGCAAAATTGGGATCTTATATTTTCTCTTTACTTTCTAAAAACCTGTTTGTTTCCTAGTGGCAACACCTCACTTTGGACCTTAGTGTTGAACATTTGCCCAAGTGAGGAAGCAATGGGTTTTGTCCCCAGGCCAGGACACACAAAAGTCCTTAAGTTTCTAAGATTCAGCATATAGGGCGATTCCAACAACTAGTTAGTTAAGCTACTGTCAATATAATGTAACCAGGCGGAATACTATGCTGGGTGCCTTTGGCATGGTATTTCAGTGAGGTAGCACTAAAGTCGGCATCAGATCTGCACTATCACAAGGTGGCATATATTACACAAACACCCTGCCTCCAGCACACGTCCAATACACACATGGAGGCATGTAATACACAAACACCCTGCCTCCAGCACACATCCAATACACACATGGAGGCATGTAATACACAAACACCCTGCCTCCAGCACACATCCATTACACACATGGAGGCATGTAATACACAAACACCCTGCCTCCAGCACACATCCATTACACACATGGAGGCATGTCTTTAAATAACCTGAGCTGTTAATGGGATGTTAAACATAATAAAACCAAACTAAAATGCTAATATTGTTTCTTGTAATTTCACAGGATAACTAATTGATTTCTGAGGAACCCTGCTTTTTGGGGGTTTAAGACTGAAGTCATAGTCAAATTAAGGTATGTTGAAAAATTCAACTACTGGAATTAAAGTTTTAATTCTGTCATATTATATATAGGCATCAAGGTGAGTGGTGCCGAGGTTTTAGTTAGCCATAACACGTCAAATCTTTCTTCTAGGTTTACCTCAATCATGATTTGTCCTAACTGCTAAATCTGACTAAATCTTGATGTTTAAATCAAAAAGCAAAACAATACTGGGTTTTTGAAAACATGATTTATATATTCAACACATCATAAAAGTTGGTTGATAACATCAGTCAAAAACACGTACAATCTTGTGTTGTTCGGCTAACAATCATCATGACACCAGCTTCATTGTACATGTACAGGATGAGAGTTACATTTACAATATACTGCGTACATTGATGCCAGAATACACTGTAATGTTAACGTACCTATATGTATATTAATGCACCAGTTATTCATGAAAACAAACATCTTTCATTAATATGATGAAATACAAATTCTACCAGAAATAATCAATTGGTAGCATTCTATTTCTCGTAAAAAAATCTACATGTACCATTACCTGGAAAATTATTGAGAAATCTCACATTTTCTCATCAGCAACATTCTGGTAGACATCTGAACTTTTAACTGAATGCGATCTTGAAAATGTGAGCTTAATCTTTAATTCAAAGAATTAAAGAAAATTTATTCCATTTTCAATCCGACAAAGACCACACATATCCATTCCATTGAATGTCTGAGCTAAAGTATTAATCTTATTTTTTTTAAATCAAACTGAGGATAAAAAGTGTTTCCGTTCCATACGACTAGGTACACACATATCATCATGATCAGTAGACTGGCCCCTCATCAGCATCATCATCCCCACCATTGTCATCCTCACCATTGTCAAAGTAAGACAAGAGGTAGTCAGTCTCCTGGAGTAAATAAAACACACCAATCAAAACAAAGATCATAAATGATCATAAATGCCAAACTCACATGGTTTTGATGTCACAATTAAGGAAACAGTAAGTTATTAAACATCAAAAACAGGTTTAAACCTTAGTGAATTTAGGTGTAATATTGAAATTAGTGTCATTGTGTAATACTTTTGATGTTGACTTTGGTGTTGGTTAATTAACATTAATGTGATATTAACATCAGATTAATGTTGACATTATTGGTTTGATGTGGACATCACTGTGATATGGACATTGGTACATGACGACATCAGTGTAATAATGAAAGGTGATGTGTTGTGTAGGTGTGGTATTGACACTAGTGACGTGTTGTGTATGTGTGATGTTGACACTGGTGACGTGTTGTGTATGTGTGATGTTGACACTGGTGACGTATTGTGTTGGTGTGATGTTGACACTGGTGACGTATTGTGTTGGTGTGGTGTTGACACTAGTGACTTGTGTAGATGTGATGTTTGCACTGGCTGATGTTATCACTGGTGACGTGTTGTGTAGGTGTGATGTTGACACTAGTGACTTGTGTAGATGTGATGTTTACATTGGCCTGATGTTGATACTGGTGACATGTTGTGTAGGTGTGATGGTGACACTGGTGACGTGTTGTGGAGGTGTGATGTTGACACTAGTGACTTGTGTAGATGTGATGTTTACATTGGTCTGATGTTGACACTGGTGACATGTTGTGTAGGTGTGATGTTGACACTAGTGACTTGTGTGGATGTGATGTTTACACTGGCCTGATGTGACACTGGTGACATGTTGTGTAGGTGTGGTGTTGACACTGGCCTGAGGTTGACACTGGTGACATGTTGTGTAAGTGTGATGTTGACACTGGTGACGTGTTGTGTAGGTGTGGTGTTGACATTGTCCTGATGTTGACTCTAGTGACGTGTTGTGTAGGTGTGGTGTTGACACTAGTGACTTGTGTAGATGTGATGTTTACATTGGCCTGATGTTGACACTGGTGACATGTTGTGTAGGTGTGATGTTGACACTAGTGACTTGTGTAGATGTGATGTTTACACTGGCCTGATGTGACACTGGTGACGTGTTGTGTAGGTGTGGTGTTGACACTGGCCTGAGGTTGACACTGGTGACATGTTGTGTAGGTGTGATGTTGACACTGGTGAAGTGTTGTGTAGGTGTGGTGTTGACATTGTCCTGATGTTGACTCTAGTGACGTGTTGTGTAGGTGTGGTGTTGACACTGGCCTGATGTTGATACTGGTGACATGTTGTGTAGGTGTGATGGTGACACTGGTGACGTGTTGTGTAGGTGTGATGTTGACATGTTGTGTAGGTGTGATGGCGACATGTTGTGTAGGTGTGATGTTTACACTGGCCTGATGTTGGTACTGGTGACGTGTTGTGTAGGTGTGATGGTGACACTGGTGACGTGTTGTGTAGGTGTGATGTTGACATGTTGTGTAGGTGTGATGTTGACACTGGTGATGTGTTGTGTAGGTGTGAGGTGGCACTGGCCTGATGTTGACACTTGTGATGTGTTGTGTAGGTTTGATGTTGACACTGGTGACGTGTTGTGTAGGTGTGATGTTGACATGTTGTGTAGGTGTGATGTTGACACTGGTGATGTGTTGTGTAGGTGTGATGTTGACACTGGTGAAGTGTTGTGTAGGTGTGATGTTGACACTGGCCTGATGTTGACACTTGTGATGTGTTGTGTAGGTTTGATGTTGACACTGGTGACGTATTGTGTAGGTGTGGTGTTGACACTGGCCTGATGTTGACACTGGTGAAGTGTTGTGTAGGTGTGATGTTGACACTGGTGACATGATGTGTAGGTGTGATGGTGACACTGGCCTGATGTTGACACTGGTTACGTGTTTTGTAGGTGTGATGATGATACTGGTGACGTGTTGTGTAAGTGTGATGTTGACACCGGCCTAATGTGGACACTGGTGACGTGTTGTGTAGGTGTGATGTTGACACTGGTGTTGTGTATGTGTGATGTTGATACTGGTGATGTGTTGTGTAGGTGTATGTTATAGACACCTGTATGTATTAGGACATCAAGGTGGGTGTACAATAATGTTAGAGACACCTGTATGTATTAGGACATCAAGGTGGGTGTACACTAATGTTAGAGACACCTGTATGTATCATGACATCAAGGTGGGTGTACAATAATTTTATAGACACCTGTATGTATCAGTACATCAAGGTGGGTGTACAATAATGTTATAGCCACCTGTATGTATCAGGACATCACGGTGGGTGTACAATAATGTTATAGATGGTGATAGTGGTGATGTGTTGTGTAGGTGTATGTTATAGACACCTGTATGTATTAGGAGATCAAGGTGGGTGTACAATAATGTTAGAGACACCTTTATGTATCAGGACATCAAGGTGGGCGTACAATAATGTTATAGACACCTGTAAGTATCAGGACATCATGGTGGCATGTGTGTACAATAATATTATAGACACCTGTATGTATCAGGTAGGTGTATGTTACAGACACCTGTATGTATTAGGACATCAAGGTGGGTGTACACTAATGTTAGAGACACCTGTATGTATCAGGACAACAAGGTGGGTGTACAATAATGTTATAGACTCCTGTATGTATCAGGACATCAAGATGGGTGTACAATAATGTTATAGCCACCTGTATGTATCAGGACATCAAGATGGGTGTACAATAATGTTATAGACTCCTGTATGTATCAGGACATCAAGGCGGGTGTACAATAATGTTATAGACGCCTGTATGTATTAGGACATCAAGGTGGGTGTACACTAATGTTAGAGACACCTGTATGTATCAGGACAACAAGGTGGGTGTACAATAATGTTATAGATGGTGATAGTGGTGATGTGTTGTGTAGGTGTATGGTATAGACACCTGTATGTATTAGGAGATCAAGGTGGGTGTACAATAATGTTAGAGACACCTGTATGTATCAGGACAACAAGGTGGGTGTACAATAATGTTAGAGACACCTGTATGTATCAGGACAGCATGGTGGGTGTACAATAATATTATATATATATGTATGTATCAGGACATCATGGTGGCATGGGTGTACAATAATAGTATATACACCTGTATGTATCAGGACATCAAGGTGGGCGTACAATAATGTTATAGACACCTGTATGTATCATGTAGGTGTATGTTATAGACGCCTGTATGTATCAGGACATCAAGGGGGGTGTACAATAATGTTATAGACGCCTGTATGTATTAGGACATCAAGGTGGGTGTACACTAATGTTAGAGACACCTGTATGTATCATGACATCAAGGTGGGTGTACAATAATTTTATAGACACCTGTATGTATCAGGACAGCATGGTGGGTGTACAATAATATTATAGATATACGTATGTATCAGGACATCATGGTGGCATGGGTGTACAATAATGTTATAGCCACCTGTATGTATCAGGACATCATGGTGGCATGGGTGTACAATAATATTATAGATATACGTATGTATCAGGACATCATGGTGGCATGTGTGTACAATAATATTATAGACACCTGTATGTATCAGTACATCAAGGTGGGTGTACAATAATATTATAGATATATGTATGTATCAGGACATATTAAATATCAACATCCTGAGCCTTTTGGTTATTCAGAACAAGTTGTTTAAATATTTTGAACATATTTGCTCCTTGTGACCTTGAATATGATTCAAGGTCATACATTTGAACAAACTAGGTAGCCCTTGATCCTAGTATGCTACTGACTAAATATCATCCCCCTGGGCATTTTGGTTATTCAGAAGAAGTTGTTTAAAAATTTTAACATATTTGACCCCTGTGACCTTGAAAATGGGTCAAGGTCATTCATTTTAACAAATTTTGTAGCCCTTCATCCGAGTTTGCTTCTGGCCAAATATCGACACCCTAGGCCTTTCGGTTATTAAGAAAAAGTTGTTTAAGTAAAATATTGACGCCGGACGCCGGACGGACGGACAGACGACGGCCGGGCGACGGACGCCGCGCCACGGCATAAGCTCACTTAACACTTCGTGCCAGGTGAGCTAATAATGTTATAGACACCTGTATGTATCAGGACATCAAGGTAGGTGTACAATAATGTTATAGACACCTGTATGTATCAGGACATCAAGGTAGGTGTACAATAATGTTATAGACACCTGTATTTATCAGGACATTAAGGTGGGTGTACAATAATGTTAGAGACCCCTGTAAGTATCAGGACATCATGGTGGCATGGGTGTACAATAATATTATAGATATATGTATGTATCAGGACATCATGGTGTAGGTGTATGTTATAGACACCTGTATGTATCAAGACATCAAGGTAGGTGTACAATAATATTATAGACACCTGTATGTATCAGGACATCATGGTGACATGGGTGTACAATAATAGTATATACACCTGTATGTATCAGGACATCAAGGCGGGTTTACAATAATGTTATAGACACCTGTATGTATCAGGACATCAAGGTGGGTGTACAATAATGTTATAGATATCTGTATGTATCAGGACATCAAGGTGGGTGTACAATAATGTTATAGACACCTGTATGTATCAGGACATCATGGTGGCATGGGTGTACAATAATATTATAGACACCTGTATATATCAGGACATCAAGGTGGGTGTACAATAATATTATAGACATCTGTATGTATCAGGACATCAAGGTGGGTGTACAATCATGTTATCGACACCTGTATGTATCAGGACATCAAGGTGGGTGTACAATAATGTTTTAGATATTTGTATGTATCAGGACATCAAGGTGGGTGTACAATAATATTATAGACACCTGTATATATCAGGACATCAAGGTGGGTGTACAATTATATTATAGACACCTGTATGTATCAGGACATTATTGTGGCATAGGTGTACAATAATGTTATAGACACCTGTATGTATCAGGACATCAAGGTGGGTGTACAATAATATGTATGGTTGTTTATAACTATATACACGGTGTATATAGCAATATATTCACCACAACACCTAAAAGGCATCGCTTAGTGACCCCTAAAATGAGGCATGTACAATCTGAATCACAAAAATCTTATTTTTGATATTTTTGACACATGAGAATATTTATTAATGATACAAGTGCAAGTTATCAACCCTTTACTGACATGTAACTAATTAACGAAGAAAACTAAATCTGTGATCATACAAACCTCCTCAATTTCATCTTCTTCATAAAGCTCCTCTTCTGCATCTTCATCCCCTTCATTTTTCTTTTCATCTTCATTTTCATCTTCGTCACTTTCATCTCCCTTCTCCTCCTTTTTCTCTAATTCCTTCAATAAAATAGATTTAACAGACAATTTCATTATTATTTTAGTACCTCTGTAAAAATCATGCATTTAATATCTAACTAACCGTGTAAACACTGCTTTAGAAGGGATGAGATGAAGTGGAGGAGAAAACCTTGTACACTTATATTACTGACACCATCTTAAAAAACACACACAGGTTATACAACAATGTCATAATCACTTTCTCAGTATCATAACAAATAACATTCAGCAAAATATGAAAGATCTATATACCAACTACTGTAGACTACTGTATATAACTTACGTACTGTAAGTTCTGTGGATTAATTATGTTTCGTATATACTTTATTGTGTTATTCTTCCTTTCAGTACTTTTTTCCCCCAAGAAAAAGAATTTGCATTTCAGTTATAAAACATCATTAAATGTTTGTCTTAATTTGCATAAGTAATTATATGTTACTTACATATGCATTTGATGCTTAACACATCAAAATAAGAATCATGCTAATTATAGCTAATCTTTAGCATTATACTAGAATTGCTATGTGTAAATTATCTTTACAAAAATGTTCTAAGGGAAAGAACTCTTACTCATCTGCTTCACAAACAATTATTAGTCCTCACCTCCAGAGTCTTTTTTACATCACTCTGGTCTATTTTTTTCTTTTTCTTAGGAATGTTAGGTTGAACTGTCGAACCAACTTTTCTGGATTTCTTGCTTGTTATTTTCAGTTCTGCTGGGAACCTTCTCCAGTCTTAAATACCAAGAATATCTTATGTATGAATAAATGAGTTAATAATACTTGTTCAGTTATCAATATTGACAAATAATAAAAACAAAAAGCTGAATTTTATTGTTTTTCTGATTTCGGAAACTGTTAAATTCCAGAGTTGACAGAAAGCCTTGAAATATGTATAAAATGTAATCTAAGAAGCTATGTTGGGGAAAAAAATCACATTCATATAATATACATTTTTCTGAATGTTGTACTTCTGGGGGAATTTGCAAAAATAGGGCAAGGGGTTTATAAAAAGAAATTGCTTTTCTTGCTTAAAAACAACTTGCATATAAATACAAGTTATTATCATATTACCTGGTTCCCATTTACCATCTGTGTCACTGTTCAGCTGATATTTATCTGAGTATCTGTCTATGTCCTTGCGATTTGCAGAGGTTTGTTGATAAAATGCTGACCTCTTCATAACTCCACGGAACTCTTGTTTTAAGGCCAACATGTAATCAAACTCTTCTCCTTGAAGTAGAGGTACAGGCTTAAAGTCTGTTGGCTGAAACATGTAAGTAAAGTGAAAATGTGATCATGAGTGGACCCAAGAATTACTGGTAATATATGGGGGTTTTACATAATATAGCAAAGATTGTCTTGATGTCAAAGGGTGGTCACATGCAAAAATTGGTGGGCAAAATGGTGTGTATATATGTAACTGATGAGGATGCTTCGACCAACTATTTCTCAAAATAGAGAGAGCTAATGCTCATTGTTTAACATGTACGACTCTAAATAAATCTTCTTGTATCTTGTAGTTAATTACTGTGGCATATCGGCTTCACTTGGATGTTCCAGAAAGATGAAACATTAACAGACCTGTAGCTTTTACAGAATAACCAACAGGTCCATGGAATGCAGACAAGTTCGGATTAAAGCTATTTGACGTGATAATGTTGATGGAAAATCTAGTCCATTGGAACCAACTGTCTAGGACTGTGTCTTCTTTTGCCACTTCATCACAGACAGGTATCATCTTTTTATATTATTCAACTACTGATGTTTACCCATTGGTATTTATAACTTGAGACTTGGACAGGTGTAGTAGGACTGGGAAGGGGACTTCTGGTGACCAGACAGCTCAGTCGGCTAGAGCATCTGGATCTGTAAGGTGTAGGGCCTTCTCAGGTGTAGGGCCTTCTCAGGTGTAGGGCCTTCTCAGGTGTAGGGCCTTCTCAGGTGTAGGGCCTTCTCAGGTGTAGGGCCTTCTCAGGCATAAACACATCGGGGGAGACAGTGCTAGAGGCGCTTAGTGCAGTAGCAGGCTAACTCAAAGCCCTCAAGTTACTCTGCACGCACAACGTTGTCTGGAAGCTGGTGGTCTAAGAGTTTGAACCCAGATAAACAGATATTCCTTCTTCTGCAGCAGTGCTTGTTTAACCAAGTGCCAACCTTTAAATAAAAACAAGAGGCCCAGAGGGCCTGTATTGCTCACCTGGATATCTAAGCAATCATGGCAAATTATTCTCCAAAGAAGATCCAAGGGAATATGCCAGACCCCAAGGCCAATCCTTGTAGTATTAGATTGTTCATGCCCAGCAATTTTATGTATGGTTATGGGTTGGGGATCTCAACTGTTTCTAAGCTGTGACTCAGAAACTAGGTCCCTAGGGTTGTGGCCAGACCCCAGAATCAATTATAATATCATGACTGCATTCGTCTCTTTTTCCACAGCATTTGTATTTATAGTTTTGGGGTGGGGATCTCAACTGTTCCAAAGTTATGACCCAGGGGTTAAGTCTGCAAAGGTGGGGCAGACCCTGGGGTCAATTCAAATAGCATGACTGCATTTGTCTCTTTATGCCTAACAATTGTATATATATTGTTTTGGGGTGGGGATCTTAACCATTTCAAAGTTATGACCCAGGGGGCCATAATGGAAGCATATTTGCATTCATCTCTTTATACTCAGCAATTGTATATATGGTTATAGGGTGGGGATCTCAACTGTTTCCAAGCTGTGACTAAGAAACTTGGACCCTCAGGGTTCGGTCAGACCCCATTGTCCATTCTGATATCATGACTACATTCGTCTCTTTATGCCTATAGCATTTGTATACATAGTTTTGGGGTGGGGATCTCAACTGTTTTAAAGTTATAACCCAGGGACTATGTCTCCAAGGGTGGAGCCAGACCCTAGGGCCATTCTGGAAGCAAATATGCATTCTTCTCTTTATACTCAGCAATTGTATATATGGTTATACGGTGGGGATCTCAACCATTTCCAAGTAATAAACTTTTTTGGCCCCACCCCTTAGCCCGGGGGTCAGCCCCACCATTTGTACAATTTTGAATCCCTGCCTCCCATAAATGCTTCCAACCAAGTATGATCGATATCCATGGCATAGTTCTACAGAAGAAGTCGTTTATAGCAATATAGCCAAATTGACCCCTTTTGGCCCCGCCCCTCAGCCCAACCATTTGTACAATTTTGAATCACCACCACCTAGGGATGCTTCCAGTCAAATATGGTTGATATCCATAACTTAGTTCCAGAGAAGAAGCCGCTTAAAGCAACATAGCCAAATTACCCTTTTTGGCCCCCATCCCTCAACCCCCTGGGGGGTCAGCCCCATCATTTGTACAATTTTTAATCCCTGCCTCTCATGAATGCTTTTACTCAAATATGATTGATATCCTGTGCATAGTTCAGAAATTATTAGTTCTACAGAAGAATTCCTTTATAGCAATATAGCCAAATTGCCTCTTTTTGGCCCCCGCCCCTCAGCCCCCTGAGGGTTCAGCCCAACCATTTGTACAATTGGGAATCACCACCACCTAGGGATGCTTCCAGTCAAGTATGGTTGATATCCAGTCAGAATTTCAAACACCTGTGATTTTTTTCACGGTGACAGCTAAAAGTCCAGGACAACTCAGCGTACCTTCTAAATGAAACAGTTAAAGGACGCATCTCTTAGTTATCAGAACTTTGAATTATCAGAGAAATCATTAGATGCGTTCTTTTCACGGATTGTTTCCCTCGTAGTATTGTGTAGTAAACGGGTTCTACTTACGGGATATAGAGGGGGAGGTTGCAATATTGGAGCAGGTAACGCCTCTCCTCGGCCAAATCCAAGCGCTTCCACATTAAACGAAACGTTCCGTCCGCGTCCTCTGCCTCTCCCAGCCATTGTTTGCAATAAAATTCAACAGCTGGGGTGAAATTACAGTCTACGATACATAGTTGGATTGCACATGCGAAACTACATTCTGGGCGCCGCCATATTGCTTTGAGAGAAGTCGTTATTTATATATCCTGGCACACACATATAATCACATGTTACTGGAACATTTATGATAAATGTAGACATTTTTTGTTATATTTTGTCTTTAAATATTATAAATTATTTGTAAATAATAGTCTGCTTTTTTTTTTTTACTATATACTGTAAACAAGCCTACGTATGTAATGTAGCATAAAGTATACCTCCCTAAACGACCTTCACCTTCGAACAATCGTTGTCATCGGAACACCTCGATACTAATATTCCGAAGGCTAAGTTGTTAAATGATGAAGATTTGAATTGTTTTACAGAAGGCATACAATAACACGTATGTATTTCCATAATAGTTAGTGACATGGATAAATCTATTGTTTTTGTCAGACTAACTTCTACAAGAACCAGTACACCATATATATGGTTTATATACAGTAATACACATGATATACGTGTGCCTAGCACTAGACTAGACTAACACTGACAAGTGTAACGTTAGTGTGTCAAAGCACTGGTCAAAGTAGCTCACGAAGCCCATTGCCATGGACCAAAGTTCTACAGCAGAGATAGAGATGTGTGAATTTCATTTGGATAGAAATGACAGGGATGTTTTTTCAAGACCAGGATATTTTTTCACACATTTTTTAATTGTACAGTGACAATGTATTTCTTAGTTTTGAAGACTTCAGTGCATTTGGCACAGGTCAATTTCTGTTTATTTGATCCCTTGTATAGTTTGATTTTCATAATTTTATTTCAGATAGGCCTATATTGTTTAGGTGTCGGCTTAAAAGTATGGTAACATTATTTTGCATAGTCTGTATTTGTTTTGACCAGAGACGTATATAATAATATATATGTCTCTGTTTTGACAATAAACTGTGGCTTTCAGACACTGTAATGGGATTAATTTTTGCACAGTCAAGGGGCTACATCACTGTATAGTACATGAGTAGCAGAGTCAAAATCATAGTTATATGATAGGTATGTTCTACACAAAAATATGCTTTGGGAATCTCTTCAGTATCCCGCTACTGCTCCCAAAAAGTGTCACTATGCATTGACAATTGGTTGTTGCAGTATGACTATATCTTTTCTGAAAAGAAAACCATACATTGCAGAATTTTTATGAAAATATGATCAAGGTGAAATAAATGAAATACATATTCAGTAAAGCTAGACCGGGATATTAACTCCTGACGCCAGGTTGATTTACTGTCCTTCTAACCAACAAGCTATTTGATCAATGGAAGTAGCATGGCTTAACTGCGCTACAGTTATATATATATCTAAAACGAAAATAAGGGGAGGTAACTAAATGTACGAAAAACCAGTGGAGGGGGACCGTGATCCTTAAGGGAGTTCCATCAAAACTATGGTGTCTCTGTCAGAAGTAAATGTTAAAATGTGTTAAAATGTGGTCACATGCATGTGTATTTCAGCCATGATTGAAATGTTTGTATCCCCCTCTCCCTACTCCCACCCCTCCCCCAGGTAATAAATGAGGTTTCCTTTGATTTCTAGCAACTTTGAATAATGTATTACATAGCAACAGTTATGTACTGACAATAAAATTGTATCTTGGTTCCAGGATAAAGATATTCTTTACCAAGTGTTAAATGTAGTTCTAAGATTTCTTGTTTTATTATTTCAGGATGGATAATTAAAGGACAGAGCTACACTTCCATAGGAGGCTATCTAGCAAAGGGCTTAAAACTTAGACAGGAAGGATGGCATCCTTTGTCAGGGGAAAATGTGGTGTACAATCCAAAGGAAACCTTTTTTCTGGAACATGGTCAGAGAGACGATATCTCTATAGTGTTTTGTCAAGATGTTTTGGAGGAACAAACAATTCCTTTTATTCCAAAAAGCATTCAAAAGGAAAACCAAAAAATTATAGATCAATACTAGATCGAAATTTTGAGTATATAGAGCATGCATCTCTAACACCGCACAAAGGTAATTTTTATCTCCTCAGGTTTCCACAGTATTGTGATGCATGTACATATGCAGCAATCATCGATTGGCCACTAGCCACCAGTGTTTTTTTGTTGTTTTTTTTTACATTGAATGACTTTCTATTTCAGTAACTTTCACCCAAGTTCAAGGTCATTGAGACTATATATAAGAAAAAAATGTACAGTTTAGTCTGTGTTCTGTCGTTGATTGATCTCTGATTAATATCATAACATTGGAAATGTTTACATTTGACAGTGAACATTATCAATATCAAATCATGCATTAAAACATAACATGGTTTTATAGATGTATTAAAACTACTAAACTACTAAAAAATGAGTCGGGGTTAGGCATACAAATTTATTAATATTAGCTTTTTTGTTATGTCTACATAACTTTGTTAGCAGGTCGAACAGATATTATACCAAAGCATCGTGCTGTGCCCAGTCCAAAACAGGTAACAGACTTTTACAAGCATATATTCTGGCTAGAGGTTTCATTACCAAGGAGTTTTGAGGTATATCTGGAGATATCTTGGGTAATTTCCTAAAATTTGTGACTGATCTCAAGCTGTTGTGTTGACCATACCTGTATTGAAGTGTTAAAAACAGTTACTAAGCCTATATGTATAGATTATATTTTTATTTTGGGGGTTTTATATGTCTATCAGGAACAGGATGTATAAAAAAAAGAATAACCTCTACCGTCCTTAGTGTATCATGGTGGAATATATCATGAAGATAAAAAAATGTTGGATATATAAAAAAGGTCACAAATACTGTTAAAGCCTGCCTGTCAGCTGTTAATTTGTATAAATCTACACCAGGAGGTAATAACCAATACCAACAATATAATATTTGTGTAATTACTGGTTTCGCCAGATGGATTATTATGTAGTCAGGCCTTCTGATGGAGGACAGCTTAACAAAAATAGCTGAAGAAGTTGTGTTAATGTATAATAGATGCCTAGTGATACGTAAGTAGGAACTGGACTTTGCTTTGGAGCAACATTTTTAATGAAGTATATTCTCATATATTGTCGCCTTAAAAAATCAATCACTGTACATACAGTATGAATTTTGTTCGGGATGCAACATTCATCCTTGAAGCAACAGTGTTGTTTACAGTATGTAGATTATTGATGTGTTGTAGTATATCAATTGGTGTGTTGTAAATATACAGTCTATATAACTGATCTACCAATATAATAGTCAGTCAGTCTTCATGTATCCTCATTTACTAGATGATATTTTTTTATTTGTTCCAGATTTTCAGCTTCCTCGACGAGCGTGTGGTTGGGCAGGAGAGGGCCAAAAAAGTGCTTTCTACTGCCGTTTATTACCATTATAGGAGAATCCAACACAACCAGCAGCTAAAAGACACACAAAATCTGCACCAGACTTTTTCAAGTGTGGGACAGCAATCTACACAACAGTTAGCCAGACAGAATGCCAATGTGAAGACTCTGACTACACATGGAAATAAATGTGTGTTCACTATGTGCCCTACCTTCATTATTAACATTATACCGTAAACAATGTAATATGTGCCCTACCTTCATCATTAACATTATACTGTAAATTAACATTATACTGTAAATTAACATTATACTGTAAATTAACATTATACTGTAAATTAACATTATACTGTAAATAATGTAATAGGTGCCCTACTTTCATCATCAACATTATGCCGTAAACAATGTAATAGGTGCCCTACCCTCATCATTAACATTATACTGTAAATAATGTAATAGGTGCCCTACCTTAATCATTAACATTATACTGTAAACAATGTAATAGGTGCCTTACCTTCATCATAAACATTATACCGTAAACAATGTAATATGTGCCCTACCTTCATCACCAACATTCTACTGTAAACAATGTAATAGGTGCCCTACCTTCATCATCAACATTATACCGTAAACAATGTAATAGGTGCCTTACCTTCATCATTAACATTATACTGTAAACAATGTAATAGGTGCCTTACCTTCATCATCAACATTATACTGTAAACAATGTAATAGGTGCCCTACCTTCATCAT